TCTTTGATTCATAAAGATGTGAGCATAAAAACGGTCATCTACACTTTCATTCTAACCATGGCCCTCCAGCATACTTTTATGGCCAAAACAGCAGACATACGCAACATAATGTCAGTGGATTTTCAACATTGTCCAGCTTTTATTCACACACAAAAAATGCATTCAAGCCATCTAATAATATTATAAGGTATGTTCTCGATAACGAACCTTCTGCAATAGATTAATAGTATCTCTGATTTGGTCCTGAGTTATAAGATACCTGGGTCCCATAATCTTTTCGAATACATCACTTCTATCTACAGCAAGTGAAAAATAAGTATTAGTTCGACTCGGTGGAAGGTTATTCATAATCTTGAATAGAACAACGGACCGGATATCGTTTTCTCTCATTGCTTTCGATAAAATCATAGATGATACCTAAAACCAACAGGCGTTAGTCAGAAAATCTCAGTTTGTTGGCTAAACTACTACAATAATAGACCTAATCCAAAAATCGTGGACTTGTGATGATGAGACTACCTAATCTAGATTTTACGTGGCAGTCCTATCGTGGTTTGCACTGACTCGACTTGTCAATACCATCAACAATACGATGTCTAGCGCTTCTGAAGAACACATTTGGGCTGGAGATAGAACAATATAAATTGAATGAGAATATAAGAGATAAGTTGCACAAGAATGACTACGTTCAAGTGAGTTCCGGGAATCTAACGTCCCCAACACACCTCGATTTTTAATAGCGCACTTTCCTGAAGTTGACTTGCATCTTGGCTTTTGTCCGCCGCTGTCGGAGAGGCGACCTTTTGGAATGGAGATCAGTTTGTTGTTGAGCTTCTTTTCGTGGTGGGGCTGCTGGTAAGTTGAAGGTATCAAGCAGGATTTCTAGGGGGGATTTACTCCTGTTGATGGGCGGTCTTGGGCCATCCGATTCCGTAGTTGAATTCGGTGTCTAGTCTACGTGTCTCTTCCCACCTTTACCTCGTACACAACTTGGCCCAGTCTTCCAACCACACGCGCTTCGGTCCAAAGGCCATGATTTGCTCTGTAGTGTCGACCGAACACCGGGTATCCAACCTCGTACGTTTGCAGCTTCTGAGATTTGATCTGAATGGTGGTGGTGTGGTTCTTGGGCAAATCAGACTGTGGATCGTCCTGAATTTCCTTCCCATCAGGATCTCTGTCGGGGACTTCTGCTGTGGTAGCATATCACTAGGTGTTGTTCGGTAAACAAACAAAAAATTTTGCAGTGTTTCGACTGGCGTTCCCTCCCCTTTCGACTTCGTTAGAGCTCTCTTGAATGAATCCACAAATCTTTCTGCTTGATCATTTGATTTTGGGTGGTTAGGTGGAGAGCGGAAATGTTTGATCGATAGGCATTCTCAAGATTCTTGAATGTGACTTAAAGTGAACTGCGAACCATTGCCGGATACTTTTAAATCCGGTAATTCGTTGCGGGAGAGCATCTCCGTCAAAAGTTGCATCGTTTGGGTAGTCGTTGGTGGCATGACAGGAACGATTTCTGACCATTTCGAAAAGGCGTCAACAACGACTAGATAGGTGATTCCATTAATTGGGCCTGCGAAATTGACATGTACCCTGGACCAGGGATACTCAGGCTTTGGCCATGGGACCGGCAGTACTTTCGTGTTACACTTGGCCGCTTGCTGACACTGACTGCACTTGCCTAATAAATCCACAATATGCTGCTCCATGAGGGTCCGATGAGCATAGCTTCTGGCGATGGATTTCATTCGTTTTATGCAAAAATGACCAGTGTGGAATTGCTTTAGCACTATTGATCGTAGGGACTCTGGTACCACCTCTCTTCAAACATCAAGCATTCGTTTACGACACATAACGAGTCCCGACGGTGGTAAAGCTGCTGCAAGTCACCATCGAGTCCAGTTGATGCCCCGCCATTGGTGACGTATTACATAGCTCTCTTAATGACGGAGTCGTTCCTAGGGGAATTTTGTATTTTATCTTCTGAGACTGGCAAATCACGAACAGCAGTTGTCAAATAAAATTGCGCGTGGTCCTCTGTCATTAGGAAGGCGATAACCACATCTTCGTCGGCCGTATGGTGTTCGCTTATAAGTCGTCAGTTTGACCAAACGTTTGGGTGCGCAAGTACTGAATGTCAAAATCATAACCCAAAAGTATCAAAGCCCATCACTGGAGACGGTTTGCAGAGTGGGCTGGAACACCGGATTTTGAACCGAAAATTGTGAGAAGAGGCTTGTGGTCAGTGAGAAGAGTGAATTTTCGACCGTACAAGAATTTGTGGAAACGGCGTACTGCAAACACAAGGGTGAGAGCCTTTTTTTCTATTTGACTGTATTTTCCGCTGCAGTTAGTGTGCGAGATGCATGCATAATAGCTTTCTCTGTTGCGTCCGGGATGCCAGTTGCAGCCTCTGCAATATGAATCATTATATTTCAAACATACTGAGTTTATATACCAATCAAACAGACCACAATGTAGCATAAACTAGAAAATAACATTTGTACAAAATTTGGCCAAATGTGGCTGCGAATGTGGGAGGCAGTGACTAATAGACAGGGCATAATTCAAGAACGGTAAAACGTATAACAATGGTTCATAGGTCAAAGTAGAGCTTATAATAAGAGGAATATGAATATGAATAGCTCAGTTATTTAACAATTATACGATAAAAATATACGTATATATATACGTATAGTATCTGATTCATCTAATTGGATGGAAAGAACTATGATTATCTTCGTCATGAGAACCATTACAATAATAGAGCTAATCCTAAAATTGTAGAATTGTCAGGATGTGACTACCCAGATTATAAGATCTTACGTGAAAATCACATCGCATCGCAACAGTCAGCAATATGTCTGAAGTTTCCAAAGAACTTATTGATGCTAAAGATTGAATGATATATTTAATGTGGGTAAAGACAAGTTATACAGAATAGCCACGTCTGCAATGCTGAGCAATGATATTCGACTGAATGAGATTGATTTATTCAATTCTTCCCACCTTCCCCGTTGTTGACCTTCTCTTCTTGATTGTTGAAGATGCATTTTTATATTTTTCTCATATTCAGCTTTGAAGATTGTGTGGTTAGGACCAGTACTACTACAAATGTTCGAGCGTTCACCATTGTTGACCTACTCTCATTTGATAGTGAATCTTCTCAGTAATTATATAATATGCTCCAAGAATCGTGTGGTTAGTGATCCATATCACAACCAGCTAAAAAGCGCTTAATACAGTGTCTGATACCTAAAACATAATACCTACAAAAAACGAATTAAAATTTTATGTAACAGGCAAGCGCGTCGAAAAGAATACACTCACCTGGGTGGCAGTAGAAAATGCCGAGAAAGCAAAAGTGATTAAAAGAATAGCGCCAACACTTAGAATATCTCACAAAATGAGGAATTTCAGCAAACTAAAAACATTATGTAGGGACACCAAAAGGCCAGCGGAGAAACATACCGAATGAGGCTTCCAACCGCCACTTCTTACACAGATGGAGGAAATTATAATTATTGCTTCATTCTGATTGATCTTCAAGTCGACTGCCAAAAATCGCAACCGGAGCTGAGTTTATTTCCAGTCAGAGACGATCTGTTGTTAGTGTATAAAGCAGGCAACATACAGCTTATAAAGCGGATGAAGTGTGTCTGGTCTCTAGGTAGATTCGATGGCAAGCTTTACTGTCGAGAGAATTTCTATTTTATGTTCTAAGTAGTGCTTGCTTTAGAATCATGTTCTGACTGCATAACTTAGGTATTTTATTGCGATAATGCATTCAAGGTTGATAGATATGGCATTCTGAACATTGCTTCTTTCATTTTGACTATTCGTATAAATTTGACAGGACCATTGCTGCCATGCGTTATGAAGTTGTATTGGTTAAATTTGGCACCAATATCTACTAATTTTGAAGGAAAGACTGATACAACCGCTTGGGACCAGTATTACTGGTCACATACGCACAGAATAATGTCTAGTACATAGATATCTGGAAAGTTCTTAAACTTCAGTTAGACCGGCGAGGTTTGGACAACTGAAAATAGTATCCAGTATAGAGTTCTGTTGATCTGACTCCAATTCGACTGTATGCTGATGTCAAAAAATATATATTCTGGCTACCGTCGTATATAGTTATCGACTTAATTCTCGCTAGAGCATAACGGAATAAAACAAGTCAAATATCAGAATGAGTTTCGGACATGTATACTTCATACACATGTTGCTGCAGATAGACAATATGACAAAAAGAGCTGAGAAGCAGATAGGAGAAGGCAAACGTGCTCACTCGCTATACCAATCATTACAAATATTAATAAAGCTCAAAATAGACAATGTGTAGTATAACAAGCAGATAGGCATTAGATAAAAATAATGGTTGACAGATTAGCACACAAACACATACAAAGTGCATTAGTGTAGAAAGGTTGGCTATAAAAATAAGGTGGATGTGTATGCTGAAGATTACAAGTTTTTCGTTTATTTCTCCCAGCTCATACCTAGACTACACATGAGATCAAATACGAGACCTGAAAACATTTCAATAATCAAAATACCTTTTTCCAACCGATGAATCCTTATAAATCACTAAAATAAAATACAGAAATTCGGATTAATTTTCTATTCATTTTACAAGCAAACGACATCAAGTGAATTTAAACTTCACGCATTTGCACAAGCAATTGGCTATCAGGACTCAGTAGCTGAGTGAAAAGAAAACTCGATGGCGCTTGAAGCAAACAACATCGACTTCGATCCTCAAAATGAACATCAACTCCGAGATGTAGGTACATCCAACTGAAGAGTTCCAAATAGAACGAAATGGCGCTCGTCCTAGATTCCACTTCTAACCACTATCCATCTTTACTTCGAATGCTTGTGAATTAAGACAATAATAAGGCAATCCTCACAGAATGTACATATATATGCCAACAAGAGATTAATGATCAATTACATTCCTAAACAACAACGAGGAAAATAAAAGTAGAAAAAAAAAGGAAAACAGCACCAAGTGAATTTAACATAATTTTTTTTATTATTTAAATCTTGTCATATAGAAATCATTTAAGTTCTTATGAATAAACATGAGAAATTAAAAGTAAACAAAAAGAAAAGAAAAAAAAAGAAAACAACCAATAAACCATTAAAAAAATTCATAAAAAAAACAGAAAAGAAAAAAAAGAGAAAAGAGAAAAAAACTTTTTTTTTCTTAAAAAATAACAAAATTGTGCAACCGGGAAAACTTATTTATTAAATTCATTCAAATATTCAAAGAGAGCTTTTTGTGTATATTATAGTAATTAGATAGTTGAATTCATGAATCAATTCAATCTAGACTACCATAGAAAACCTGGAAGCTTCAAAAAGCCATTTCATTCTAATATAAGATTCCTCAGTATCAATGCGTATCCATGATTCCATCCTGTAAGATTCTAGCTTAAAACTTATCAATCTCACATTGGTGACCGTTCAACCTCTAGACTATTGAGCCAGTATCTAATAGTAATAATGTCTAACTTTAATCAATCCACAAAATTGTGCCATCACAATCGGTACTTCTAAGAAATCAAATATTAGGATGAAACAGTCTTCTAGTACTTCCAGGTTTCCTATGATGGTCTAGTTTGAATTGAATCATGAATTCATATATAAATGTAGTTTAATATTGTGTATTATTTATTATTATTATTTTTTTTTTAAAAAAAGTGTGTTTTATAGCACTTTATTGATTTTTAATTGATTTTTGATAATAAAAAATAATAATTATGTACAAAATTGTTATCCTGGATACAAAAACACAAAACATGGGGAGTTTGTTTTATTATTATAATTATTATTATTTAAATGGGAAAATCTTGTTCCAAAGTGCGTGTGTATGTATGTGTGTGTGTGTCAATGATAAGATGTACTTGTATTTATATAAAGTTTAATTCATAATAATTGATTTTTTATTATGCATTTGTAAGCATAAACTATTACGCATATAAGCTGGTAATCGAAGTGAACGACTTTCACGATCAAATACATAAATTGGTTCATTTGTCCAAATTGAACCCTAAAAAAATTATATAAATGGGTAGAAAAAATATGTCAGTATAAAGACAATACTAATATAATTGAAGAACATATGGAACTCAAAACAACTTTCAACCAGTATCAAAGACAGAATCTTCAATACGAACATCAAGACAGTTCTACGAATTGGAGAACTACCACAACCATCATCAAAATGATACAGGTATTTATAAATAGTTGTCTATTCAGCATCCATTGACTGGATACCATCAACAACAGCCTATTGTGGGAGAGAACAAACCAGCTTACAACTGAAGAGGAAATTAGGAAAAGACAATGGAAATGGATAGGACATACATTACGGAAATCATCAAACTGCATCACGAGGCAAACTCTAACTTGGAATTTTGAAGGGAAGCAGAAAAGAGGAAGGCTGAAGAACACATTATGTCAGGAAATGGAAGTAGATATGAGAATAGTGAATAATAACTGGGAAGAGCTGTAAAGAAATGTCCAGGACAGGGTTGGATGGAGAGTGCTAATGGGAGGCTTATGCTCTTCCACGAGGAGTAACAGGCGTAAGTAAGTCATTATTTGATACTATATGGTTGAGAGGACTCAACTGAGATGAGTACAGCATGGTCATATGTTGTTTCTTTTTTATGTGTAACCTTTAGGAATCAGTGGATATGCTTATCAAGTAAAGAATATTGTTATCAAGTATCGTAGTAAATAAATTTACCATTGAACTGATGTATTCATGATAACTGGTCAAAGCATGGTGAAGATTGTTTTAGTGTTTACTTTATACTGGTCATTACTTTCTACATTTATTATATTCTGTTATTCCTTGTTCTCCAAGAAAATCCAAGACAAAGAAGTATTGTAAACAAAAATGTTTATGGGTAAATGAATGATAGAAGGTTTTCACTTAAATGCTACTATCTATATGGCCTTAGAATCTATCTACTTTATATGCCGTTATAGTAGTGCAAGTGAAATTGAGTTTGTTCACATTTAATTTGGTTAAGCCCTTTTGTCAACTTATTTAACGAACAGAGTCATTTGTACAATAATAACTTATCTATATCATTGTGCCTTTATTATTTTTACACTTGTATGAATCGTATGTTGGAGCATCGCTAACTGCCTACTCATATATTCATTCTGCTATTAGTCGCTTAACTCCACCTGGATTCCCTCCGGGGGCTTCTGCCAGTCCCAAGCCCGGATAAAGGAGGAGGGTTGGGCATGGAGTTAGCGACCCCATCCCGTAGAAAACTAACTCGCTAAAAAACGCTAACCAGAAAAAATTATTAGTCGCTTAACTGATTCGATGATTCATACATTTCACTGTATATATATATGTACATTTTATTCATGTTCATTGTACTCGCTCACTCGTACTCGTATTCAAGGACTCTCTTGCTTGTCTGCTAGCTTTCCGGTACTACTCTTTCATGCTTGTTTAACGTACCTGTAAATAGGATATCTGAGTGTGGTTCCATAATGAACGTAATCAACACTTCGTATTCGCCTTCTGATTAATACACCTTTTGGGCGTTATCTAGTAACGGTTATCAAGACGAACTGTATACAAAGTTTAAGGATGATATTGAATACCGACCACCACACTGTTTATTAAGTCTTTTCTTTTCTGTTAGCATATAGAATAGAAACACCGATGAGTTGTTTTGTGTTAAATGTTGGGTCTAGCTGAGTTTGTATTCGTTCTCGTTCATACCAAAAGAATCCTCAATAGTTCATGAATAGAATTTACTTTAGACTAACTGGAAATCCAGGTACCGTAATAATAATACTAATAATTTTTATCAAGATTTTAACATTTGTTGGTGAGACTATCATTTATGGAAGAACCAATCACGTATAAGATAACAGGTCTTGGATTTTTGGCGCGAAATTAACTCATCCATTTGGCTAAATAAATTCATGACATTATAGCCGATGTCAGTTCGTGATGAAAATCCTAAATGTAATTCCTAACTATAGTCATCAACTGTGAATCATAATTCTAATTCCCCACACTGGTTTATAACCCTCATTTGGTCCTATTTATTAATTAGACACTCTGAAGGTCAGTCGTCCATAAATTATAGTCTCACCGAACATGTTAATAAGTCATTTGAAACTTACATTATTAATATCACGTTGCCATTTAAGTACAGCATCATCATCATTGAAATATGTTGAACATGAAATAATCAGTGCATGGCTATCTGTAATTCTAGATTGTTTTTTGTTAAAAAAAAGATAATGAAATGTTGAATAAGTTCACACATATTAAGTTTGAACTATTAATTATTTATTTAAACACATAAACATTGGTACAAGGAGGCACCAAATAGATATGCGCCACATAAATCACTCCATTTTTGTGAGGGCTTGGATACTATCCGGGTGCCCAAACCGAAGCAGATGGTTTTCTTGGGAGGCCACACCCCAAGCCTCTGATCTAAAGGTGTAGTCCATAAGGCAGTGGAGCAACGTCAGGAGAAGCAGTCTCACGGTAGCCCGTCACCAACGCTTGGTTCATACGCTATTTGTTCCCTTAAGATTCTGGAGGCCATGTACACCATTAGTTTGGAATCAGGATTTTCCAACCTTTAACACCCCTGATCCGAGAAGGGAGTGAGCAGAACTCTTGTGGCAGTGGTTGTATGCAGGTGGCCATGTGAGAGCATTTCGAGAGAGAGAGAGAGAGAGTTGATTCTCCCCACTCTCAGCCGTACCAGGGCATTTGTTAGCTAATAGTTTGTAAAACTCATCAAAGGTAAATGAACTACTTCCAAGAAAAAAAACAAAAAAACAACAAATGAATATTACTTATATCATTAACTTACTTTTTCATAACTAAATAACGTATAGGAGTTTCAGCTACTTTACTACGTACAATTTTTTGTAATTCATATATATGACTTGAATCAATTGCATATTCTAATATTAATGAATTTTGACGTAATGGATAAAATAATGGTTCTGGATCCTTGTTCGGTACATGACTAATATCAGGATTTGATGGATAACGTGTAGATTTCGATAACGTTTTCAATGTTGTTTCATCATTCAGTTGTAAATCATCTTTTAATGACATTGAACGCTATGATTAATGTGATATTTTAGAGAAAAGAGAAAATAAATAAAATAGAGAAATATCAATTAAAATATGGTTTCTTTAGTAGAATAATTTCATTTGTCGAATTCATGAGTCAATTGAAGCTAGACAACCACCATAGAAAACCTTGAAGCACTGGATGGCCGTTTCGTCCTATTATGGGACAATGGTGTACGTTGGCGCGATTTCGTGGATTGGTTAAAGTTAGACAATAATATCTTTGGACGCCGGCTCAGTGGTTTAGTGGTTAAGCGCTCTCACGTGAGACTGATAGGCCCTGGGTTCGAACCTCACGGGGGTCGGGATCGTGGATATGCACTTCTGAGGAGTCTCGTACTAGGATGAAACGGCCGTCCAATCTTCCCAGGTTCTCTATGGTGATCTAGCTTCAACTACAGAAGTTACTAAAATCTCCACAAAACCCCTTCTTATAATTTCATTTGATTTAATAATAAGACATTAAATAGGAAAGATTAATTCAGCAAAAAGTTCTCTTTTCCGCGAATTCATTTTCAAAGCTATGCAATCGCAAATATATATACTTATTTTCACAGGATGATAATAATACTGATAACGAACTTGTTATACATGGTGACAGTGAGGTTAAATAAACAAAGGTCTCGTAGTGGACCACTGAGCCGGCATCCAATGGTGTTAGTGTCTAACATCAAGCAATCCACGAAATCGCATCACCATCTTCCATTGTACTGAGGTAGATAACTTTCTTTAAACGATACGGATTAGCTCCACTGGTCACGAGTTCTCACTAGAACTCCGAGAACTCCCTCATGAAGCTAATCACTAGTGAGCACATGTTAATTAACAGTATAGGGGTTGTGGATTTCAACATCAGACCTATAGGTCCTGGATTAGATCCTTAGTGAAGTCTGTGTTGAGTATTACTGAGAATTTCAAAACTAGGATGACAATTTTGTCCAATGTTCTTTAGTTTCGGGCTTGGGTGACTATGTGATAAATACGACGTACAGTTGGAAGAAACGTTGACTATTTCAGTGTCTTAGTTAGTTTTGAACTAATTGCTTCTCTTAATTTGTAGTCGTTTTAACATCAAATTAATTATTTTGTTTAATGGAAAGTATAATTTTCAAAGGATAAAACTTACTTTATGTTTGGTCATTTGAACATTACCTTCGAAACTTTTTCTATTTTCTGTTTCTAGGAGAAATGTGAAAAAAAGACAAAATGAAAGTAAAAAGCCTTTTGAGCTTTGATTTACTGTTAATCTTAATTTAACAATTTCATGGTTGAATTCATGAGTCAATTAACGTTAGACCACTATGGAAAACCTGGAAGTACTGGATGGTGGCTTCGTCCTCATCAATGCCCATTCACGATCCCGCCTCGCAGGCATCGAATTCAAGATCTACCGGTTTCGCGCATGGATGCTTAACCTCTAGACCAGTGAACTGGCATTCGAAAGTGTTAATGTCTAACTTCAACCACCGCCCACAATTGTTATCACTGAGTTACTAACTCAGTATAGGCCTGGTTGAACTCCATTGGTCAGTACTTCTCACTAGAACTCCAGGAAATACCTCTTGAAGCCGGTCACTAGTGAGCATATGTTGATTAGTATAAGGAGGGTTTCTGTGGATATCATAGTAATTTCAATGGTTGAGATCATGAGTCAACTGAAGCTGGACCATCGCCATGGAAAACCTGGAAGCACTGGACGGCCGTTTCGTCCCATTGTGGGACTCCTCAGCAGTGCACATACACGAGTCCGCCCCACGAAATTCGAACTCAGGACCTATCGGTCGCGCGCGCGAACCCTTAACCTCTAAATTATCTTTGATAGTTTTGTAAAACCTCTTTATTTTAGTAATGACTATTACATGTAAAAAAACTACCTATAAATACGATTGTTCAGTTTCAGAAAATGATATCGTCGAAAAGAAAGTCACTTTCACTGAAACTTCTTCATTCTATTTAACGAATCAATGAAAATACTTTCGGTTTTTTTCAATAACTTCAATGCATCATCTTTAACTGTATTGAAACTTCAAAAGGATCCTCTATAAGAGATTAACAGATGAATGAATGAAGTACATAACTTCCATGATTTACTTGACGTATACAAATCATGAATTGATACAGACTATTCAAATCTGTCTTAATAATCGTCAATACAATAAGATGAGATCAAATTAACTGGTTATAATAAGCATAATCAAATACAAATAATCCCACACAGTTGGTTCCTTTTATAAGTTTAAATAAAGCCATAAGAAACATGAATGCAGACTGACATGAATTCATCATATTTCATGGTTTCTTATCAGCTGCTTACAATCGTTGCTATGTATTGAAAGTTGACCACTCTATATTTACATCTCAGTCCTACAGGAAGTCAGTCGCGGCCCGGATAGCCCAGTGGTAACAACTCTGACTGTGAAGCTGGGTGATATGGGATATAATCCGTCAAGGAGCATCAGTTCTCTCAAGATTTCAGGTACACCTTGCTGAAAAGTGCCAAGTAGCACGAAACCCTGGTCCAGGGTTTCCTATTGACTACCTCTAACCACCATTTTATCCTAAAGTAATGAACGCAATGTCGAGTCACCTAGACTAGTGGCCACATCGCGAATTGGTCGATAGCATTCAATCTTCATTAAGAAGGACATGACACACGTGACATTTATCACCACCCAGTGATTAAACAGTTGTTTTGCCACAATATTTAACTTTCATTATATATCAGTGGTTGTAAGCAGCTGAAAAAAACCCACGAGGCATGATGAATTCATATCATTCTGCATCCATTTTTGTTTTAGCTTTACAAATCATCGATTTGTAATTGAAGAATTTGAATAATGAGTTAAATATCCATATTTCCTCTTGATTTAACTTTAAACTAAACTTACTTTGATAAGTTCGAATTTGATAAACTAAAACTTCACCCATTCCTGTACCAATCCATAATGTATTATCATAGGGAAGTATTACAGTGACTCGTTGAGGATTAAATGTGTACTCTTCTTCCTGTAAAAGAATATCCAAATGAAAATGTGTATATCTCAGTTGTATATCATGAAATTACTTATAATCGGTTTTAATTACTAACAAATATTTCAGTAGTGTAATTGATTACAGAGAAATATTACGATAATAACTCGCACGGTATATTTTTACATTAACCTTACATATTTAGTTTACATATGAAGTTACTTATGATATGTGTGATACAAACTTTAGAGCAGCTGAGAAGAAGAGAATGTGAGATAATTATTTTGCCTTGATTTTTACTTGTCAACAATGTTCATCCACAATTTTTGTCTTGGTGTTAAAACTAAAACCCTGAGGTCGTAGAATTAAAGTGAATTTCAATCATGCTGGATGTAAGGGATATATCCAGTATTGAGAATGGATAACATTCATAGTGTTTCTTTAGAATTTGTGGATCACATAATTCTAGTTCAGGAGTTTAATTGATCCCTTTTTCATCCTAAAAACCCAAAGATCCTGTAATTCATGCCATACTATATCATGTATATTGACTGCTAATAAGTCTGGAACAAAAACAAGATGACGTAACTTTTCCTGCTGACTTGTAATAATTCTCTAGGTGAATGTCAGTTTGTAATGATTTCCACCTTGAAATGTTGTCATTTATCTCACGATGGGATATATTCATAGATCGATACACATATAGACGGAATAAATTATTGTATAGCCCAGAGTTTGGTTTCGAACGATCAGATAGGCAACCACGATAATTACCACAGAGTGAGGCTCTTCAACTGTACATATTTTGTGTAACTGTTAGTGAATTTTCAGTTCAATCTCATATATCAAGATGTTTATGTACTGTTCTATCAACTAACTGATTGCATGGTCTAGCTATCAACTCTATCATAGATAAATGAATTGAGATGAATAAGTCAGTTTCTATTTAACTGACTAACTCCTAATAATTTAGATCAATTGACTTGAATATTCCACTATGACTTAGACCATTCAAAAAATAAGTCACTTCTATCAACCTGAAATTCAATCAGTTCCTTCAAAAGAGATAAATCTATTAACCTAGTGAGTAAACGAGATCTGATAACCATTCAGTAGAACGTACTTGAGCTACAATATTGTATTACATAACACAACATGGTGGTAATGAGCTAATAGTCCTTTAGTAATTTGGCTATTGATTTAGTATCAAATCAGTGACAATCTCGCAACAAGTCGTGATTCATTCGACGAAGTGCTATTCGGTCTAAATAAATAGAATCAATGGGGATTTGAAATACCATGTTGTCAATAGTAATTATGTGTTTTATAAATTTCCATTAGATATAATCTAAAGTGATAATACTGAGCAGAACTCGACAATGAAAATAGAGACTTTTTACCGAGATCTTTATACTACAATCATTAAAAACCTAGAAGCTCTAAACTACTGTTTAATCATGACATGAGACTCCTCAGTAGTACTCACCCACAATCTCACCATTGGGGATTACACTCAGGATATTCCGTATCTCTCACGAAAGCTGAATCTCTGTATCATTGAGTCGGAATCCAGTGGAACAACATGTTAACTTCAATCAGTCAATGTGCAATATTAATTGACTATATTCTATTGTCTTAGTCGGGTACCTTTCTCACACTTGATACGAGTGAATTTCACTGGTCTCAACTCCGTAGAACTTCGAAAATTCTCTAAGATAGTCACTAGTGAGAAAATTTAATTGAGTTTGAGCTAAAATAATTTGGTTGAAGATCGTTCACACAGAAAATAGGTGGTTAAGTAGTTGAATATTTTATCGACTGATTGAAAGAATAGTTCTTTAACTACTTACCCACAGCATGAAAATGATAACAGTTAGCTGAAGATGACAACTTGTAGCTAGTAATTTAAAAGTGAATGTTTCATTTCATAACAAGTGATGCAGTCAACACGTATCTCTAGAGCTAAGCATATCCGCAATCTTAAGGGAGCTTTTCTTTTCCATGTGATTCAAATCTGTGTCATCCACTAGCATATTCAAAGCCTCTACCGTAGATTTATTTAACGAAGCGAATGACCTACAGTTAGAGTGAGGTATGTACATCAATAGACTGCTTAGTAGAGACCATTGTCATGTTTGTCATTTAGTGGCAAACGAATCTTATCAATCAACCTTTGGACCACTCCAACTCAATATATAACCACGTTATTGGATTGAATCATACCCTAACATAAAGAATTAGACCAGAATATGATCAAATCATGTATAACTTTTATATTAAACAAATTTATATCACTTACTGGTCTCCGACTTAAATACGTTTCATTAACAATATTGAATAAAAGTATACGTATCAATCGATCTGGATCCCATAATTCAATAACTGAACTACCACGTACTGCAATCCAAACACCATTATCACCAAGACATATTTTTAATATTACATCTAATGGATTATTAGATATACTAATTTGTTTATAATAATCCATTGTTCTAAAACCGATTATGTTTTGAATTTCAAAAGGAAAATTAAACAATACAAAGAAAGATAATGTATGTAACCATAGAAACATTGAGTTATATAATCAATTGTAATCACTACAGTAAGATCATTTGGGGATACTTACTTACGTCTGTTACTCCCAATGGAGTATAGGCCTCCGACTAGTATTCTCCAACCCACTCTATCCTAGACCTTGCTTTCTAGTTCTATACAATTGTTGTTCATTCTTCTCATGTCTGTCTCGATTTTTCAGCCTAATGTGTTTTTTTGGTCTTCCACTTCTCCTTTAGTCTTGAGGATTCCAAGGGAGGGCTTGTCTTGTGATGCAGTTGGGTACTTTCCTCAATGTGTGTCCTATCCACTTTCAGCGCTTCTTCACTTGAAGTTTCTTAGTATGATTTAAAAATTCAATCCATTGATTCTGCAAACCACTTGGCTGTTTTTTCAGGTTGAAATGATTCATAGTGACTGTTTCATGTCAACCGAATGTTATTTGTTACTTAAGTTTAAATAGAACATTCAGAGTTAGTCAGCTACTAGTTAGACGGACTCGGAGAAGAAAGAGTCACGAGGGTCATGCAGTGTCATTATTATTATTATTGGAGTAAAGAGAACTTATCATTATAGGAATCAGTAGTTTAATTATTCCGTGATGCATACTACAGGCATAAGTAGTATGTAACTCCAAACAGAAGTATTGTATATGGCAACAGAAGATTGAGAAGATTGAATCGAAGAGAACGGGAATAAAGAGTAATTGTAAAAGCGGTGAAGGAACGACGAAGATTAAGATAATTGATAGAGGATTTGCAAATCAAGTATTTAATGTATGGTTTTCACATTTTATAAAAAACTCTGTTCACAGTTAGCTCACCTGCAAATTCAATTACTTGAATATATTCATGTAAGTAAATAGCTAATAAGAAGCTAAGATTTTAGGCCACAGAACGATGTAGTACGATCCACTGATCAAGACAATGGTTTTATGTATTGATTTGATTATTGAAATAGTGCAATAAATAAGTTTAGATAAAAAAGAATGGGTAAGTTAAAGCATGACCACCATGGAAAACCTGGAGACACTGGATGGCCGTTTCTTCGTAATATGGGACTCCATAGTAGTTTAAATCCATGATCCTGCACGCGGAGGTTGAATCCACTTCTTTTGGTGTTGAGCGTGAACGCCTAACCTCAAGGGGTTAAGTGTCCTGAGTTCGAGTCCCACGTACGGGATCGTGGTTGTGCACTGTTAAGGAGTCCCATACTAGAATGACATGACTCTCCAGTTCTTCCAGACTTACACTGATGATTCAGCTTATATGGAAGGATGAATTAAACTATAGATTTTGATCCACAGCAGTGCTCACCCACGATCCCCTTCGCGGATCTCGAACCCATGACCTATCTGTCTCGTGTGCGAACACTTAATCTCTAGATCACTGAATTGACATTCTACGATTTGAGTGTCTAACTTCAATCAATCCATGAGATTGTGCCACCGTCTACCATTGTCTTCAATGATTTACTATCTCACAACGGCCGTCCAGCGTTTCCAGGTTTTCCATGGTGTTTTAGCTTTAATGAACTCATGAATTCAACTATAAAATTACTATACTATCCACAAAAACCCATTATTGATGAAAAAATGTAGAATGGGATAATTTGAAAATGTCAATTTTCATGAAACTCACTTAGCATGAAAAATGAATATAGAACTACCACTTGCACACCATAATTGATTCTTTGCCAAAAGTACAGATGATATTGGAATAAAACTAATAGTAATGTAATATATAGAATCACGTGGTTCTTCAAAGCCAATATTCTAAATTTTAGCAAAACAGATAAAACATAGAAAAATCATTCAATGAAGTGATTCAATTTAGTCGGAAATTCCTAATTGAAATCAAGTTCAACCAATTGTCTGTTATGTAATATGCATTTGTACTATGATCCATAGAATGTTTAATTGATTACTTCATTGATATAGTTATACATTGGATTTAGGTTATATATGGATTTGTCAGTAATAATCACATTATCTCAATGAATAAAAAGAAAAGAATATTGAAAACCTGAAAGTACTGGACAGTTGTTTCGTCCTGGTAGGAAACTCTTCAGCAGTGTACAACCATGATAATGCACACGGGAGTTGAATAAAAGACTTTCGGTCTCGCGCGCGAATGTTTATTTATTTAAACAAATAACCATTGGTACAAGGAGGCACCAAATACATATGCGCCACAGAAATCCTTCGATTTGTGTGAGGGCTAGGATACCGCACGGGAGCCCAAACCGAACTAGATGGCTTTGTTAGGGAGCCACACCTCAAGCCTTCGACCCGGAGGTCTAATCTACAAGACAGTGAAGCAACGTCAGGAAACTCAGTACCATGGTAGCTGGTGACCAACAACAAGTTCATACGTCATTTGTTCCTTCAGGATCCTGGAGCTCATGTGAATCATTGGTTTGGAATCAGGGTTTTCCAACTCCCCTAGGCGGACTCTCCATATCCACCAAGCCGGTTAAAGCGCCGAACATTCGGTTTTCGTCCTCTAAATTTCGTACACAACAATAGTGCTGCGAGAAGACAGTGAGTAGGACTTCCCTGACAATCGTTGTACGCACGTAGCCGTTTGAGAGCATTTGGTGAAGGATAGCTAACTCCCCCTGCTCTCGGTCGTACCAGAGCATTCGGGGGCGCGAACGCTTAACCTCTTGAGGCTAAGAGTCCTGAGTTTGAGTCCCACGTGCAGGAATCATGAATTCAACTATTCATGTAGATTTTGATCAAATAAAAAATATCATAATAAACATGTTAATAAAATGAAAATCACATACTTCAATAACAACTAATTCACCATTTGTTAAACCAGCATAAACTTTGTTAGTATGATCATGTAAAAAGTATGCAAAAGTTAAATCACTGACACTGTCATGAATTGGAATTTGCCAAATTTTCGAACTGTATTAAAAAAAGGGATAATAAAATAAATAATATTTCATTTATATGCTGATCTGATCAATGTTATTTGGCGCGATTATAATTAATGAACGAACCAATCAGATTTAAGATATAAAGTCTTGGATTTTGGCGCGAAATTCACTCATACATTTGGCAAAATAGAGTTTTGGCATTACAGACGATGTCAGTTCATGATGAAAATCCAAAATCTGATTTCTAACTCTAACCATCATCTGTAAATTATAATTCTTATTCTTCACGGTACTTTATAACCTTCATTTAGCCCCAGGAAGTAGATGGGCATTCTCAAGGTCACTTAAGCGTCGCTCAAAAGTCATTCATCTCATCGATAAAACTGTTGTAGTGAATGAAGACTTGGCGCAGATAACCAAGTTATTGTTTAGCAAAAATTGTAGAGTAACTTCATAAAATATGCAAATTATGTACTAAATACATCATTTACACATCTTCCATCAGTTGTCTCCTACAAACCTCATTGTTCCTTCATTACTGTTGTTATCTTGATTGATTTCAGTTTGCTTTTCAGTTTTCATTGTTTCGGTCTTCTCAGTCTTCTGCTCGCAGGTGTTCCATTACGATTGGTGCTACGTACTACTTATATCTGTTAACATAATTGGCATACACCACACTGTTACTTAGTTTAAATGTAATCAACTGGTCCAATGCATATATATATATGCATTGGACCAGTAGCTCCGTCGACCTGCCAGGGCACCAATATCCGAAATCCATCCGGCATCTAGGGCTTTCAACGCCTGCACTACAGCGGACTGCTGAGCCATCTACATCCGATGTCCGCTCAGCATCCTTACGTCCCACCGCTCCTCTCCGTCGGCAGCACTCTCTACAGACAACGCCGCTCCGTCGGAACACTCCACTCAATGCCACCTCTCCTCACCAGACTGTCGCAACCGGCACCTCAGCTCCAGGCCCGCAACGGCTTCCACAGAACAGTACCCTCTCCCCTCCCGGTTGGCAGCGACAACTTTGGTCTCGCACGCGAACACTTAACCTCTAGACCACTGAGCTGGCCGGTATCCAATGGTGTTGGTGCTATGATAGACAGTGAAAACGTTTAGTCAATCTACTATTTGCAATTTATGTGGAAGTGTATTATAAAATAGTGTGAAGATTTTTAACAGTTCTGAGGTGGTATTTCATATTTTTGTGTAGAACAGTTTCTAAAAGTCTGATTCCATCATTAACAATTATTTTTTACTTTCAATACTCAATAATGTAAGTGCAAATTACCTAGGTAGTGTACTTTTTCACGTTTGTAGGTTATACACTAATAATAAGTGTTTACATGTGGGGTGCATAAAAGGTACAATAGTTCCGGAACGTATTCGATGCTGACATTTTCCAAAGATAACTTTACAGTCACTCATCAAAGTGGTGTATTAACATCCTTTAAATGTCTTTCCATATTTCAGCCGTTTTTACTGTATCAAGCCCATATAGATTATTCTTTCTTCTGGACAGATCAATCTATTCATTCTTCTAAGGCCACATTTTGATCCTGTCACTTATTCGCTTATTAATCCTGATCATTTTTCTATATGATCGTATGTGTATTAATTGCTTACCTCATTGTTTATGTGTCTGTAACTTATTTTTCGTTGATTATAACTATCAATTAACGCTTGATTAAAGTAAGTTGGCTTAGTCGCCTTCTTCACCGTATGTCATTTCGTCTCATTTCGCTCTCTTCTGTTCTTTTCTCTTCGCTTTCTTTGCTCCGTTTCCCCAATTCTCTGTCTAGACCAACTATTGTGTGAAATATATGTATTCGAAATTCATTCTCATATTTTACTTGTTTAATTTTGTTATTTACTAACGCGAGTTAAGTTAGTGATTATATACGAGGGTAGCCGGAATGTATATTTCAATAACAATCATCAAATGATCTAACTGGAGTCAGATAAAGAGTCATTAAAGAGGTGAGCCTAACGACAAACTTAACACAGCAAACTACATCGATGAAGAACCTTCCATACACCATACTTTTAATGAAAGTACTCAACGTAAAGTTTGACTTTTGCCAACTGACGTCATCTATGGTGAAGGCGAGATATCCGTCTATCAATTAAGGGACGAGTAACTTTGCAGCAGTTCGTTCTGTTCTACTTTACGGTTGCAAAACGTGGCAATTAACAGCAGATTATTATTATTATTATTATTATTATTATTATTAGCTTTATTCAATATTATAATTTTGGTACAATATAGAATTCTCAGCTCAAAGTATTTCAACAAGTTTCCGTTTCTTTCTTCTTGGTCGGTCCTGGCGATAAATATTGAGGAATCGCCAGTTAGATGTTAGCACTTCAGTGAATGAACAACTGAATAATGTGCATTCTTTTCGTTGTACATTGCCAGCAACCATATTGTCTCTTATTGAGTTTTCTGTAACTTTGACAACGAAAGGTTGTACACTTTTCAGAAACGCAGCAGAATAGGTTATGCGATTAATAAACATAATGATATATTAAAACAAACAACAATAGATAACTTGTTGAAATATCTGGATGGCAGGAACAGGTAGCCCAGATGCTCAAGCAGGCCGCCCTACTGTAGACACTTCGTAAGCTACTAGTATTTAACCACAGATGTCTTAGAAATAATTTTCCCATCTACTGATATCACCGGCTAAGTAATAGTGAGGTTAGGTGTAGGGTATTAGAGAATGATGATAAGTCAGTTGGTGAGGTTGTGAATATTCATCGGCTGAGATGATCGGGCCACGTGTTACATATGTCTTAACACCGATTACCACGACGCACAATGCTGACCAGTGTTAGAGATAGTTGGAAGAAAGTTGTAGGCGGCCAAACCATAATGTAGCATTAGTCGTTGAAGTCACTAACTTCTAGTGTGAGTCATGTTGGTAAATGCAGACTACTTGGTTGGGGTCCGCGTGACTATCATAACCAATTGTTGGAGACTGTGTGTGACATGTAATCATAATCATTAGACCATAGACACTTTATAGTGTTAATTAAATTACAAAATAATCAATTGTAAGACTTACTTTTGTATCACTGAATAAGCACATAATTGTTTAGACATCATACCAAGTAGAATAATTTCATTACTGAATGCACATATACAACTGACACGAGATTCCAACTGAATTGAAATAAATAAATAAATAAAAATAATTTGAAGAATATCTGGAACTCAAAACAACTGTCTAACAACCAACACCAAGGTCAGGATTTTCAATACAAATGTCAAGACAGTTCTACTTTATGGGGCGGGAACTTGGAGAACTACGAAACCCATCATTCAGAAGATACAGGTGTTTATTAACAACTGTCTGCGTAAAATACTTCGGATCCGTTGGCTGAACACCATTAGCAGCAACCTACTGTGAGAGGGAACAAACCAGATTGCAATGGAGGAAGAAATCAGAAAGAAGCGCTGGAAGTGGATAGGACACACATTGAGGAAGGGACGCAACTGCGTCACAATGCAATCCCTCACATGAAATCCTCAAGGATAAAGAGATTATTATTATTATCGAAATTGGTCTAATACACGTGTACATATAAAGTCTGAATGGTAACATGTTTCAGATTAGATGGTGGTTGGAGGTAGTCAACAGGAAACCCTGGACCCGGGTTTCGTGCTACTTGGCACTCGTCAGCAAGGTGTACCTGTAATCTTGAGGGGACTGGTGCTCCTTGACGGATTATATCCCATATCACCCAGCTTCACAATCAGAGACGTTACCACTGAGCTATCCGAGCCGTGACTGACCTCCTGTAGGACTGAGATGTAATCACAATCGATTGATCACTGGGTGGTGATCAATCTCATGCTTGTCTAGTCCTTAATAGTGCAGATCGAATGCTATCGATCATGTTGCAATGTGGCCACCAGTCTAGGTGACTCGACACTGCGAAGCTGGGTGACACGAGATCGAATCCGCCAGGGAGCACCAGTTCCCTCAAGATTACAGGTACACCTTGCTGACGAGTGCCAAGTAGCACGAAACCCGGGTCCAGGGTTTCCTGTTGACTACCTCCAACCACCATCTAATCTCAATACATAGTGCCCGCAGTGTCGAGTCACCTAGACTGGTGGCCACATTGCAACATGATCGATAGCATTCGATCTGCACTAATAAGGACTAGACAAGCATGAGATTGATCACCACCCAGTGATCAATCAATTGTGGTAACATGTTTCAAAAATCATCAGTCGAAATGAATACCTAGTCGTTAGTTAGTTATTGGAACTTTGAAGATCATATTACTGATTAAATAACTCAAGCATTATTGTATTCAACATAATTAACAACATAAGATTTACGAGGAATTGTCCAACTCAGTGATAAAAGCTAGAGAGTTGCTGAAAGCAAAAGAACATCAAACAACTGAATTCCATTCTCAGACTTTTATTGATTATCAAAAAATACTCTATTCATAGATTACTGAAACAAAATCTGGTGATCTTTACTTCAATTATAGTTGATCAAAACACTATCGAAGATCTCAGTTTCGTTCTGTATCAAACGTCTAGTAGACTTTTAACATAATTTAGATATGATCAAAAACTACTGTCAGAAAGTTACTAGACTTCATTAAGTTCTGTTCGGCAATCTTTAGGAGTGATACTTCGCAAAGTGATCAGTAAAATCTGATTAGTTTTAAGGATTAGGCAACATGATATTACTTATTAATAAACTGTTAACTAATGTGTTAGATGGTTGTGGATAGGCGACAACAAACACCATTTGGCCTAGGTTATACGTTACCTGGAACTCGATATTTAGGCGTACGTGTAATCATGGTGAGATTGATAATTTTCTGTAAGACTTGTATACGCCTCGTCTAGCTACAGATCTTCAGATATTACCGCTAGGCTATTCACGTTCCTAAATGACCTCCTATTGGTCTGAGGTGATCACCATCGATTGGTCTATTAACAGTAACCAGTATCTTATCTATGTTGTCTTTTAGTACTAGTAAAACTCTGTTTATCACTGGTTTACATGAATCAACATTCTAAAATGAGTTTCACCTTCCTCAAGATTATAGATAACCTTGCTGATGAATGTCAATTAGCATGAAACGTATGTCAATCTGGTTTTTCTCTTTGCTAAGTCCAAACACTTAACATCTCAGAACAGTGTATGTGATGTTAATCATTTAGATTGGAGGCCATATTGTATGGGAATCGATCAGCGACTAAACAAACAACATTTTGGTTACTATTCAATGGTTAATCAATTAAGCTAACTATATAACTTTCAGTAATGATGATCGAAAAAGAAGTAACATGGAAAAGTGTTTTTAATCTAGAAAGAATCTTTCATAGGTAAACAATAATATCAAACTGTATTACAAAATGTAAGAATGATGTACTCACTTCATAACCGATACTTTGCATACAGTTTGATGTGACAACAACTTCTGAAATTTGGCTGTATGATTTATCACCATGACAAATCCACAAATGCTCTATAGAAAAAAACGATGATATTTAGGCATTGTTAATTGATTAGATCGATATCATCATGGTCCATAAAAGAGATCATGAATGGATAATATTAAAGAAATAATATATTACAGTAGTTGAGATTATGAGTCAGTTGAAGCTACACCATCATGGAAAACCCGGAAGCACTGGACGACCGTTCTGTCATACAGTGGGACTCTGCATCAGTGTACATCCATGACCACGCTTCGCGAGATTCGAAACCGGGACCTATCAGCTTCGCGCGCGAACGCTCAACCTGTAGACCACTGAGACGGCTTACCACTAGAACTTCAAGAAATACCTCTTGAAGCCAGTCACTAGTGAGTATATGTTGATGAATATCAGTAAGGGTCTTGTGAATACTGTAGTAATTTTAATAGTTGAGATCTTGAATCAATTGAAGCTAAACCACCATGGAACACCATGAGGCGGTATCGTGGATGCGCATTGCTGAGTAGTCCCACGATACGACAAAATGACCGTCTAGTGCTTCCAGATTGACTCATTATCGCAACTATTAAGATTATGTAATGGTTAAATATGTCATTTTAATCTCATCAATTATTTTGTACTTGTTTATATCATTAATTACGAATTTAAAGACATGTAAAGTTTTTATACATATGTAAATCTTTGCACGTTTGAATATAATGTTCCCTGTGACACCATCTATTTAAAAAAAAACATATGGCATTGTAAATATCCCATCTTCTAAACGTATCTGTTTTCCATACATCAGTTATGAACGAAACTTATACATCAACAACGTCAGTCCTTGAAATCACTAACTTGTAGTCTGAACCATGTTGGTAGATGCAGATTACTTGGTTGGGTTCCGCATGACCATCATAACCAATTGTTGGAGACTGTGTGTGACATAGCTCAAAATCGATCACAATGGTGTGGGTCTATACACTCTCTGTCTTCTCTTTTAAACTATGAGATTAAGATCGCTTCATATCTTTCATTCTACGAACTAATTCTTTCTTCCTGTACTTTATCTTTATATGCAACCTTTCTTTTATATATTACCACCACTGAATTAACTACTTCTATGAATTTAGTATTCATGTTGTTGTGCTAATGAGGTATGGGAACTTGGACCGATGGATATATTTGGCTGGTCCTACGTTGTGACTGACTAACTGACCGACTGTTTAACAACACTGACGTCTGTTAAAGTGTGTACTGCATTAATACTACTAGTCTTTAGAATGTTGTCACCAGTGATCATACAATTTGTATGAGTCTTATATATCTTGTTGATAACAACACTGTCACCGAAATTCTATCAAAAACATGTCAATTGCTCCTTTCAAAGAATGTACTCTTTTCGCTCCGTCATTCTGATCTTGACTGTAGATTTACGTGCATTCTACCAATATTTATGGAATACACGTACATATATTGATTATTATTATTATTATAACGATGATGAAAATAATGTTTATTCGGTCGTTGGGATCATTTATCATACGTTAAACATTTATGCTTTAAAAATTATACTACTTATTAGTAGGTCGTGTGTAAATCATAAATTATATTGAATTTCGCACTTACGATGATTTACAACGGAATATCAATGCATTTTATATTTCTAAACAAACCTTCGGCATCATCCCATTCACATATTCAAACATAAATGTTTTTTTGAAGTATTTCAATGGTTTTCAGATGCGTTATTACACTTTTGTTGTTTCAGTTCATCATAATAAGACTTTTTGTTAATCGAATATGCTTGGTTGATATACTCATAGTAACTTTAAAGGAGTTTAATAGTCACTGATTGATTTAGAAATATTCTCTAAATTAATTGAAGAAAGTCTATTTTGGTTATTCATCAACAAACTATGTTCAGCTTATTAGCACCTCGGTAGCTTAATATTTCTACTTTTGTTACCTTTTTATTCTCAGTCGCTTTTCAACATTGACAATGGCATAACTGCATTCAAATTTCTGGTTATATGTTAATATTCAGAGGGAGGTTTTGTAGATATTATAGTAACTTAATAGTTGAATTCATGAGTTAATTGAAGCTGAATCACCATAGGAAACCTGAAAGCACTGGGCTGCCGTTTCGTCCTAATATGGGACCTCTCAGACTGATAGGTCTTGTGTTCGAATCTCGCGAGGCGGGATCGTGCATGCACATTGCTGAAGAGACCCATACTAGGACGAAACGGCCTTCCAGTACTTACAGGTTTTCAATGGTGGTGGTCTAGCTTCAATTGACTCATGATTTCAATTACTAAAATATGTTAATATATTGACAATTATAGTGAAAATGTTTATGTATTTATAATGGTTAAGCACATCTTTTGATTTAGATATTTCTAATATTTTCTTTGGATTATTCAATTGGTTTACTTTAGTAGTATCATTTATAATAAAAATCTTACCATTATCATAAAACGTGATTGCTTGAACTACAGCTTGGTTTTCTTTAGTAGGTCGTTTGTAATGAATGTGATTCTATTAAATAACATTTGAGAAAAATAATAGATTTATGTTATAGTTTAACGGCTCCGAAAAAGCATTCGAAGACAAGAATAGTACTTATTAACTTACTTCCTTACGCCTGTTAACCCATATCGACTGGCATAGGCCAAACATCAACACTCTCCATACAACACTGTCCTAAGAAATCCTTTCCACTTCTTTACAGTTGTTATTCATCATTTTCACATCTGCTCTCATTTCCCAAAGTAATGTGTTCTTTGACCTTCCACTTTTCCAATTCCCTTCAGCATTCCAAGTTACGAATCGCCTTGTCATGTAATTTCATGATTTCCTGAATGTACGTCCTATCCACTTACAACGTCTTTTCCTGATTTCCTGTTCAGTTGGGAGCTGGTTTGTTCTCTCTTACAGAATGCTGTTGATGATGGTATTCGGTCAATGGATGTTGAGTATCTTGTGTAGACAACTATTTATAAAAACTTGTAACTTCTTGATGATTTTTGTAATAGTTCTCCAAGTTTCAGCTGCATAGAGTAGAACTGTCGTGACGTTCGTATTGAAGATTGTGAGCATCCATATGGCACTACTATATCTCGTACTACATAAGTGTAACTATAAGTATTCAAATTATTACATTCCTACATCAGATGACGTCATCCTAATGAACGTAGGTACACTGTCTAGACTTCTTAACCCAAATGGACTATTTTGGGATTAATTTCTTTCTTAACAACCTACGCTAATAACTGTAATCCACATGAATAATGCAACACTCTTGTTATCTATGAATGTCTTTGCATTTGTAAATACCTGTTTTTCTTCTTCTTCAGTGTGTCGTCACTTATCAATAAAATACTGTTCCTTGAAAATATTACACTTGTATCATATTGCATCACCAACTGATTGGTAAGTCGGATCAATATTTAGGGAAATAATGAAATTTCATCCCACTCACTGTTAAGTAACTCAGATTGATAACAGTTTTTAACGAAAGCGCAATGAATTGATCATAACCAAAAGCATAACAATCAGATGGATTGAGATCAACTGGATAATGATTTACAATCAGAGAACACCGATGATTATTCCTCAAGAACGTCCATATATGACCCCGCACAAGAATGGACTGTTAACCTTCTTGTCTTGTGGAGAACATAATAATTTAAGACCTCTGAGTCGTAGAGTCCCGACGATTTCAGGAATTATCGAGTTAATCATCAAATTGATTTGGATTGAGAGATTACAGATTGAATGAAGTTAGGAATTTAGGCAATAAGATTTTGACGTTAACCCCTGAGGACATCAAGTTTCTTGCGATATATAAAATGTCTAAATGTAATAGCATGCAGCGTCATGAATATGTACTTATCCCAAAGTTTTCGAGGATTCAAAAGACATTGTCATTAAATCAGAGACTAATCTTTACAAACTATCCAAATAAATAGCATTATATATGTATGACTAAAATTGCATATCAAGGACTGATCTCTGATAGGGAAACATTGGATATCAAGAAACACTGAACAATTGCTCTTTCCTAATATGGGACTCTTCAGCAGCTTAGAACTACCATTCTAACAGAGATAGGACCCAAGACCTACAGGTTTTACATCGGTCTACACCTTTACACCTGTAGTGTCAGTCATTATGTTAAGCCCATATATCCTATTCTAGCTTTCGGACAGCTCAATCTATTCATTCTACTCAAGTCATATTCTGACCTTGTTATTTATTCGCTTATCAATCTTGACTGTTTCTATATTGGCGCGTAGGCATATGTACATTTCTTATCCCATTACTCATCACATGTCTGTAACTTACTTCTGTGTAACTATAAATATTGATTAACATTTGGTAAAAAAGGAGTTGGCTTACCATCCATCTCCACTGCATGTCGTTTCCCGTCTTTCCATTCCATTCACTCTACACACAAAATATATGTATTCAAATATCCATTCTCGTTATTTGACTTATCTAACTCCGTTATTGACTAACGCGATTAAAGTTGATGATTATATATACAACAAGGATAGGCGATAACAAACATTCATTACGATCCTAATTGGAGTCAGATACACGGGCCACTAAATTGGTGAGCCCTTTCGACAACGTTGTTCGATCTAAACAACGACAAAACGACGGGCCCCACAAAACACCTCTCTACAACTTTACTACATGATAAGAACAACAAATATAACTACAATAAAAGAAAACTTACTTGATTCTCAATAAATTCATCCGGTGATTCTTTCATAACATTTTGCCAATATCCTTTTTTTATAGACATTTTTTTACTTAATATTTCATAATGATAAGCACGACGAGTTGCAATAAGTTGAGGTTTAGGAAATGGTCGCAGTTCTTCAAAAGCTGTCTAGAAAGGCATATTAAAAACAGTTAGTGTTGATGTGTACAATTGTATTATATAGACGTACGTCTTGGGGTTATTGCAAGGAATTCAAAAAGCAGTAACCAACTGTCCATAAAGTCAAGAGAGTTTGTATAATCTCTCAACGTCTCCAAAGATTTAAATTCAAGCAACGAGTTGAATAATTATTTATCATTATGATTAAAAAGTATTCTCACACTCCTAACCCTAACCCTAATCCATTCTTAATTTCTGACGCTGATCTATCTCATTATTTATTATGTTTTATTATCGATTTCTTGTCACTAAACACTGATTTATTGATAGGCTGATTAGTCGTTCAAAATTGTTTATATAATACAATTTTATAGTTGAGTTAGTGAGTCAATTGAAGCTAGGCCACCATGGGAAACCTGGAAGCACTGAATGGCTGTTTCGTCCTAGTAGGGGACTACTCAGTAGTGCGTATCCACGATCACGCCTCGTGAGATTCGAAACCAGGACCTATCGGCCTGTCTTTACTGGAGTTCCAGTGAGAAACAGTGATCAATGGAGTTCAACACGGTCTATTGTGAGATAGTAACTCACCCATGACAATGGTGGATGTGTCGCTCGATTTCATGAATCAGTTGAAGTTAGACATCAACACCACTGGATACCGGCTTAGTGGTCTGGAGGTTAAGCGTTCGCGCGCAAGACTGATAGTTCCTGGGTCGAAATCTCGCGTAGCGGGATTGTTGATGCACAATGTTGAGGAGCCTCATACTAGGATGAAACGGCCGTCCAGTGCTTCCAGGTTTTCCATAGTGGTCTAGCTTCAACTGAATCATCAATTCAACTAAAGCACAACTTTACATGATGATATATTAACCCATTTTTATTTGTATGATATCAAATACTGATCAGTAACGAGGTATAGTATACACATATCTAATCTATTTAGAAGCTCGTAAGTTGTTAAGAACTTTATAATCCTCATTATATCATTCATTAGTATACTGACTATAATTCTGTTCCTCCATATGAGATACAAGATACTTAGTAGTAGTAATACGTTAATACCGAAATCCATTGGTTTGAATCCCGCCAGCGGGATCGTGGATGCGCACTGATGCGTAGTACCACAATAGGACGAAACGGCCGTCCAGTGTTTCCAGGTTTTCAGTGGTGGTCTAACATCAATCGGTTCATGATCTCAATCAAAAACATAATAATCTCTACAACCCTATACTGATAAATGTAAGTTGTTTTCACTAAAAGTAAAAGCAAACATAAGAAAACTAGAATGCCTGATCGTATTGTACACATGTATCAGTTAGTCCTGTAGACAGAAACTTTACAACCTAAGGATTTGGTTTATGACTGGTCTTTGTTAAAGATATATATAAAGTATGATAGCCTGTGGAGCTAGTCGGCTACATAAACAGAAGAATATGGAATAAGTTTACAATTCTTGGAAAGTTTTTTTAGTTATCACAATCTGTAGTACTCATTTATGTGTACCCTGTTATATCTGATGTGTTGTTCAGTCGTACTATTTCTATGCTCTCGATCCAGAAGGACATGGACTTTCTAGTTAGCCACAAGACAAATAAATTTATAAACTTACTTTAATTAATCCATCAACATCATTGGTTAATCGAGTTGCTGCTTTAAGACATTTCCAAAAACTGATTGTATCACTTTGTTCCAATAGCATATCTTGATTACGTTTAAGAATTGCCACTGCAAATCGAAACAATGTTTCTGAACCTTCTAGAAGAAACACATCCCAAATTCGTATCAATGTCTATAGGCAGTAAGGAAAGTGTACAGCATTTGATGAATCAATTTAAAAGAATATAATCAGCATAGATAATATGACATGTGTGCAATAGAACTTACTTACACCTGTTACTCCTAATCAAGCATAGGCCGTCGGTCACCATTATCCAACACACTCTGTACTCGAACTTTTACAGTTCTGTCTAATTTCCGTTCAATTTTATCATATCTATCTCCATTTCACGGCGCAACGTGTCCTGTCATCTTCCAATTCTCCTTCATCCTTGAGGATTCCATGCGAGGAATTTCATTGTGATGCAGTTGCGTGCCTTCCTCAATCTACATCCTATCCACTTCCAACACTTCTTTTTAATTTATTCCTCCACTGTAATCTGGTCTCTTCTCTCTCACAGTAGGATGTTGTTGATAGTGTCTGGTCAATGGGTCCGATGTACTTTTTGTAGAGAACTGTTCATAAACACTTGTATCTTCTGGATGATGGCTTTCCTAGTTCTCCAGGTTTCCGCCCCATACAGTAGAGCTGTCTTGACATTTGGATTGAAAATTCTTAACTTGGTGTTGGTCGACAGACAGTTGTTTTGAATTCAAGATCTTCTTCAATTGTGAATATGATGCTTTTGCTTTACCGATCCGCCCCTTCACATATGCATCAGATCCATCGTGTTCATCAATCATGCTGCCCAGTTATGTAAAGGTTTCTACATCTTCCAAAGCTTCTCCATCAAGTGTGATTCGATTGGTGCATGCTGTGTTGTATCGGAGACCCTTGCCTTTCCCTTTGTGTATGTTGAGACCTACTGGTGCTTAGGCTGCTGCTGCTGCTACACTGATCGTCTTCTCCTGAATTTGTTTGTTGCGTGTGATAGAAGTGCCAGATCATCTACGAAGTTTAGGTCGTCCAGCTACATCCTAGCTGTCCTCTGTATCCCATGCTTCTCCTCAGATGTTGACATTTTCATAATCCGGTCGATCACCAGGAGAAAGAGAAAGGGTGAGAGTAAGCAACCTTGCCTGACACCGATCTTTACTTCGAACGAGTCTGTCAACTGTCCTCCATGCACTATTTTCCAGTTTGATCCATCATAGGAATTCTTTATGATATTGACTATTTTCTGAGGCACGCTGTAATGTTGAAGAAGCTTCTATAGTGTTGTCCTGTCAACGGTACAATGGAACAACCCAGTAGCTATTCCATATCTTTAAAAATAGATCCTGTTAGCTCTTTCAAACTATAATTATTATTTTCTCCTTTTCCACCGAAGGTGATATTACTATTCCCTTTAATATGAATTTCATCTCACTTTACCACTCATTCCGCTAATCTATTCATTCCATACCCTAGATTTTCTATGGTTGCATTGTATACTTGTTGTCATCATTGAATTTAAGTACAAGTAGCAACTCTGTATCACATAGTTATATTTCTAAAATTTCTCAAAACTTAGTAGCTAAGATCAAACTTTTTACAAAATGTAGTTGATCATTATGAAATAGACACTTTTCTACATTTAAAGAACATATGGATCCAAAAATAACTGTCTTCAAGTCTATAATAAAGTCAGAATCTTCAATGCGAACATCAAGACAGTTCTATTCTATGAATTTGAAACTTGGAGAACTATTACAAAAATCATCAAGAAGTTACAAGTAATTATAAATAGTTGCCTATACAAGATACCATCATCAACAGCATTCTGTAGGAGAGAACAAACCAGATTCCAACTGAACAGGAAATTAGGAAAAGACGTTGTAAGTGGATGGGACGTACATTCAGGAAATCATCAAATTGCATGACAAGGCGATTCGTAACTTGGAATGCTGAAGGGAAGTGGAAAAGTGTAAGGTCAAAGAACACATTACTTTGGGAAATGAGAGCAGATGTGAAAGTGATGAATAACAACTGTAAGGAAATGGAAAGGATTTCTTAGAACAGTGTTGTATGGAGAGTGTTGATGTTTGGCCTATGCTCGTCGATGTGGAGTAACAGGCGTAAGTAAGTTGACCATTATACTCCTCTCGATTGCGTAACCATAGCTACAACTTGGTAACAATAAAATATCTTATATATGTAATAAAATCAATAAACCAATGATTATCTAATATATACTTACTTCAAATGGTACAGAATCATAGAATACAGCTAAAAACCAATTTAATGTCACTGCAGATATATCAATACCCAGTCGTTTTAAATGTGATGATAGACGTGGTAGTTTTTCATTTACTATTTCTTTTAATACAAGTTGATCAACTTGTGCATCAATTAAACCAGAATTAAAGTAATTCTCCGGTAAAAATCGTTCCAATATAGCAATTAAACACCTAAAATTACAAGCAAATACACTTTAAGCATATATGATAAATATTAGAAGGGGTATTGTGGATATTAGAGTAATTTTAATAGTTGAGATCATGAGTCGATTGAAGCTAGACCATAGTGGAAAACCTGAAAGTATTGGATGGCCGTTTTGTCTCAGTGTGTGACTCCTCAAAAGTGTGCATAAACGATCCCGCCTCGTGAGATTTGTAACCAGGACCTATCATTCTCGCGCGTCAGCGCTTAACCACTAGACTACTGAGCTGGCCGGCATCCAACGGTATTAATGTCTAATTTCAACTAATTCATGAAATCGAGCGACACATCTACCATTGTCATCGGTGAGTTACTACCTCACAACAGACCCGGCTGAACTCCATTGGTCACTGCTTCCTACTAGATAAATAAAGTTGAAATAAGTTATATCATGATGAATTTTTATGTGTTGTCATTGAAATGTAATCGATGTGACTATAATTTATGGACGGGTCAATCAAAAACGCTTGAAGGATTTCGGTTTCATAGCGCCTATTTCAGTACCTGATACTCATGTGCGATCGGTTTGCAGTGAATTTTAGAGAAAACGTGATATTGAGCGGCTAAAACAAATGTGATTAATAAGAAGTTCCTTTATTTGAGATTAAGGTGATTAAATGACTTGTGAACCTTGTGTAGACTACCGTGATGATGTTGTCTTTTAATGTAATATGTGTTGGAAGGAGAAGTCTGCTAGAATTGGGTTCTTCGCTCGATCCATATTGAGACTAAGGCAATTTATAATGATTGTTGCGAACTGGATAATAAAAGCACCAGTAACACTGTCCGCTACCGGGCACCACAATATATACGGTTGATTGGAGAGAGTACAGGTGTCTACATAGACTTTTTTATGTGCATCATGTCATTGTCCACAAGCGGCAATTTGTGGACTCAACTAACGGAGTGCACACAAATAATATTGAAGCTATGTGGTCGGGACTGAAAGAGTTTTTGCTACCAAAGGCCGACTATTATGCAGCCATATGGATGATTTCCTCTACTGTATTCATGATGATTTTATAACCTCTTAACCTCTTTCTGTCCTTGACAAGTTTTTGAACCATGTAAAAGAAGTGTACTCACTTTGATTCTTTGGTTTTGTATAATATATTTTTACTCCATATTAATTGTCTTCTGATTGGCCAATAATTCTCAAGGTCACTTAAGATTTGTTCAAAGGTCTTCCATAAATTATAGTCTCATCCATTTAGTTTTACAATCATTGATATAACCCCTTGAAGGACTCAGTAGCTAAATGAATAATGTGATGACGTTTAAAGTGAACGATACTGGGTTCGAGTCCCAAAAGTGAACAACAACTCTGAGATGCAGATACATCCAGCTGACGAATCCCAACTAGGACGAAACGCGCCTCAAATCAGATTCCACTGCTAGGCACTACACATCTTTGCTTATAAAACCTGTCCAGTTGTCTCTAAGTCTATTCTCAGTGTTTGTTATGTTATCTGAGTATAATTTTTTGTTTTTAGTAAGCTTAACAACATTATTTAAGTATACATTTCCAACTGATAACCAAGACCTAAATTCTTTAGACATAAGAGTATTACTTTTAAGACTATTAGTAATAACTACAAGGAAACCTTATTAATCTCTCTGGTAAGACAGAATTAAGATGGAAATTTTCATCTCATGCTCATTTCATGTAGATTATTGTAGAGAATGTCTTGGTTAAGAGCTAAAATTAAAGCTTCTATGATTGTCCTAATTCTAAATAAAATGATTGTGATCGTTATTGAATTGTGTCGGATTGGTGTCGGCTTTTGGTGTAAAAAATTTATTTATGTTCTGGTAAGGCTAATCACGTATTCTCGATCTGATTTAGGTTGAAGCCCTGTTGGATCGACATTGGGAGGGAATCTTGTGTAAATATTCGTCTAAAGTAAATTAACGTCTCATTCGTGTAGATGAAGAAACTCCGACCGTTATAACAATTTCAAATATAAAGATTATCCACTTAGCTACTGAGTTCTGATCGCCACTAGCTTATGCAATTACTACATCCAGATACGTTCAGCTGACGAGTTCTAATTAGAACGAAACGCGTATCCTGAATTCGATTACTTGAAGTCACCAAATTCTAGTCTTAGCCATATCGTTAGATACAGAATACTTGGTTGGCTTCTATATGACTATGGGAACCAATGGTTAAAGACTGTCTGTGACATGGCTCAGAATCGATCACAATGGTGTAGGTGTATATACTCTCTATCTTCTCTATAAACTATGGGATTAAAATCGCTTCACGTCTTTCTTTCTGTACTATATCCATACATAAAATCTTTCCTTTAAATAATACACCATTGAGTTAACTGCTTATATCAATCCGGTGTTCTTCTTGCTAATGAGGTATGGCAACTTGGACCGACGCATATACGTGCCTGGTCCTACGTTGTAACTGACTGATTGACTGACTATATAATTCCATCATAATTACTGTTATACACTTTACTAATGTTACAATGAATTTAAAACAAAAGATAATTTACTGTGATTTACCAGAAAGCATCTTCTTTTCTTAAGAATAACAATGCAACAGCTGCTATAAAATTCATACCCTGACAATAACCAATTTTAGAATTATGTATACTATAAGCTTGTAAAACTTCTTGAAGTTTTTGTACCTAAATTTAGTGTAGAAAAAAAAATAGAAAGAATAACATAGTCATATTCTATACAAACAATTGATTGGAATTCATCGCTCTACATCAACTTCATTGACCATGAGAAAACACTTGATAGCGTGTACAGGAGAACACTATGGAAGCTTCTTCAACATTACGGCGTGCCTCAGAAAATAGTCCATATCTTACGGGATTCCATGATGGATCAAACTGAAAAATCGTGCATGGAGGACAATTGACAGACTCGTTCGAAGTAAAGATCGGTGTCAGGCAAGGTTGCTTACTCTCACCCTTTCTCTTTCTCCTGGTGATCGACTGGATTATGAAAACGTCAACATCTGGGGAGAAGCTCGTGATGCAGTGAACAGCGAGGATGTAGCTGGACGACCTAAACTTCGTAGATGATCTGGCACTTCTATCACACACAACAAACAAATTCAGGAGAAGACGATCAGTGTAGCAGCAGCAGTAGCAGAAGCCTCAACATCAGTCAATCTCAACATACACAAAGGGAAAGGCAAGGGTCTCCGATACAACACAGCATGCACCAATCGAATCACACTTGATGGAGAAGCTTTGGAAGATGTAAAAGCTTTTACATAACTGGGCAGCATGATTGATGAACACTATGGATCTGATGCATATGTGAAGGGGCGGATCGGTAAAGCAAAAGCAGCATATTCACAATTGAAGAAGATCTTGAATTCAAAACAACTGGTTGTCGACCAACAGCAAGTTAAGAATTTTCTATCCAAATGTCAAGACAGTTCTACTGTATGGGGCGGAAGACTGGAGAACTAGGAAAGCCATCATTCAGAAGATACAAGTGTTTATGAACAGTTCTCTACACAAAATACATCGGACCCATTGACCAGACACTATCAACAACAGCCTACTGTGAGAGAGAAGGGATCAGATTGCAGTGGAGGAATAAATTAAGAAGAAGTGTTGGAAGTGGATAGAACAGACATTAAGGAAGGCACGCAACTGCGTCACAATGAAATCCCTCACATGGAATGCTCAAAGATAAAGGAGAATTGGAAGATCAAAGAGCATATCGCTCCGAGAAATGGAGATAGACATGATAAAAATGAACAAAAATTGTACAGAACTGGGGAAGAATGCCGAGTATAGAGTGTGTTGGTTAATGGTGATAGATGGCCTATGCTCCACTGTGAGTAACAGGTTTAAATAAGTAAGTAATTATTCCACATAAAGTTAATTGTGGCCTCTAGGCAAACGTTTAATTGAGTTACCATTCAATAAATTACATTTCGAATATCATTAAATCCACTGCTAAAACACTGATAAATCTTGATTAGCGTATAGTGAAAACATCTTTCATAGGAGGTTAAACAGAGTGCACAATGCTTAATCAATTGAAGATCTTTAAGCAAATACTAGTATTGATTTTCGATGTGTTTTGGATGAAATCAATTGTGTACAACACTATGAATGTATAACTTATATGAGTGAACATTGGTAGAAAGAAGCATTACAACACATTGTGTCAACATCAACTTTAATGTCAATGGAACTATTTGGATAATTCAGATCCATTCATTGAGTACACTATTATCATCCATAGATATGTTGGCACCATTTCCGCTACTTTTTCTTTAAATGATTTTAAGTCAACATTTTATATGTAACACTGAACAATAATGCCAGAATGTTTGGGATGCATTTCTCCTACTCTAAATGCAAGTTGTTGTTTCAAAACTGGCCTACGTCAACACCTGAACTAAAGATAGGGAGTGAAAGAGTCGAACGCGTTGACAACTTCACTTATCTTAGAAGTCTGATATGCCCTAACGGGTTGGTGTCCGATGAAATCTCGTTCGGCTTTTGCCAAATTACGTCACCTATGGCAAAGACGAGATATCCAATTAATGGACGAGTATACTGTACAGCAGTTCGTTCTAGTTCTGATTTATGGCTGAGAAATCTGACCATTAAGAGTAGAAGATACTCGTAAGCTACTAGTATTTGACCACAGATGTCTTAGAAACAATGCTCGCATCTACTGGGATCACCGGATAAGTAATGGTGAGGTAAGATGCAAGGTATTAGAGAATGATGGTAAATCAGTTGATGAGGTTATGAATTTTTATCGACTGAGATGATTGGACCACGTGTTACGTATGTCCGAACACCGATTACCACGACGCGCAATGCTGACTAGTGTTGGAGGCAGTTGGGAGAAAGTTATGGGTGATTGATGTATGGGCGAGAATGATAATGATTGGTTGTCTGCTTAGTCAGACATGTAGATAGTCTGACAGGTGTCAGATGAGTTATACATTCCCCTATCCTTATTATTATTATTATTACTCACCTACTATTGACTGTCCAGTATTTTTGGGTCAGATTTTAGTGTGAAAATACATTAAGTTGTGGTCAGGCTAATCACGTGTTCTTGATCTGAGTTGTGTCGAAGTCCTGTAGAATAGACACTGGGAGGGAATCTAGTGTAGATATTCTTCTAAGGTAATTTAACATCCGATTCGTGTATACGTGTATACAAAGTAAAACCAAGCGTTTTAACAGTGGCCAAACCACAACGTGGCATCAGTTCTTGAAGTCACTACTTCATAGTTTGAGTCATGTTGGTAGATTCGGACTATCGTAACCAATTGTTGGAGACTGTGTTTGACGTGGCTCAGAATCAATCACAATGGTGTAGGTGTCTTCGCTTAAACTATGAGATTAAAATCGCTTCATATCTTTCTTTCTACGAACTGATTCTTTCTTACTGTACTATATCCTAATATGCCATATCTCTTTTATATATTACCACCTCTTTATTAACTACTTCTATGAATTCTGTGTCCATGTTGTTGTGCTAATGAGGTGTGGCAACTTGAACTGATGCATATATGTGTTTGATCCTATGTTGTAACTGACTGACTGGCTGAAAGTTTATTGCAATGTAGAATGCCACAATGAAATTGACTAGTTGATCACAGTTCACATCAATTTCAATGATGATTAGTATAGATTACTGTTAAGAAATTTAACCGGGCGTCTCTTAATCTGTTTGGTTAAGATAGATTGAATTTCAATTTAACTATTCTCTGTTATGAGGCCAAATGTAATGTTACGTGTAAGCTTTATTATCCCTATATATCATTGCAACTATGTAGATTTTATAAGGTTTCGTGACTCATTTCAAACCACTTCTTCAGGAAACAAATAAATATTATTTGACATTTTATGTTTACACTTTGAATAATGAAACTTTTGGAAGCTCAACTTTACAGTTATTTTTGGACACAATGTAACTTTGATGGAATTTTGTTCTCTAAACTGGATAATTTGGTCGTGGAGTTTTCATCGTTCTTCTGAATGATATCAGTTCTACCTGAAGTTTGTGATGATGATGTTGTTCAGAAGAACAACGAAAGGTTCATGACCAAAACATTTGGAACAAAACTCCATCAAAATTATCCACCAGAGCTACAAATCGTTTCCATCATCTCACAAAGTAACATTTAAATTATAATCATCATTGTCTTTCTTACCCCAGGCGCGTCAATATTATCAAATTGTACATTATTTGGCATAGTTCTCAATAAATCAAGTGAGATTTGACGTCTATGTTGAGCTGCAAGCTAAAATTATAATAGAAATTATATTTATAATCATAAAATAGGTATGAATGATTTGCTTTAAACAATGAATTGATCAGTCAACTGTTATCTGTAATTCAGTAAATTGTATAGATATTAATGCCAAGGTTACACTTGACAGATTGATAGAGCATTAGGTAGAAATTTAATGATAAATAAACCATTTGTGATATCTCAATGAGTAGAAAATTGTATTTCTGATGTTTCGTCACGCAATATAAGCCACTTCTTCAGATTAAATAGCATAATGCTAAACCCTCTTGAGTTCAAAAAGAAAGAATGTCTGAATATTTATCCAACCTGAACTGTTTATCCAAACAACCACATTTGACCTTGTTTATTTTCCACAAAATCTACACACACACACACACAATTTCAACCCCACTACTTTATATTACAAACGCATACATTTTTTATACCCACACTCTGACACAGAAATACAGTGATAGGTCTGAAGAAGTGACTTACATTAAGTCACGAAACATCAGAAATACAATTTTTCCACTTATTGGGATATCACAAATAGTATATTTATTATTAAGTACTTTTTGGTTTATTCACATTATCAGACAACATGATTACATTAAACTAAACTGTTTAACTAATAATATTCAAGATTGATTACTTACTTACTTACGCCTGTTACTCCTCGTGGAGGAGCATAGGCCACCTAGAAAGTATGTTTACTATGGCACCATGAAACAGGAATGAAATTATTCAACCACAAATATGTAATCCTTATGCTTACCGATTCTGAAGCATGTTGTAACGACGATATAAGTTAATAAGCACAAACTAATTTTTCGTCTATTCAAATGATTAGTGCTAAACTGGATAGTAGGGGGCTCTTTTAGTCTATAGAAACCTATACATCTGTATATACATATAGATATATCGTTTCCAGATCATTATCTTATAACTTGAATTTGTCGATCAGATAACAGAGAAATAATATAAATGCTGCTTAGATTTGTGCATTGTATTGTTTTTTTGCTCTAATATGTGGTTTATCAACGAATTCTTAAGTCGTCTAATTGAACATTAGATTCGGTTTCCTAAGCTGTTCTAGTAACCCTCTGGTTAAATATACACAGCGACTTGAAAACAAGAGAAGAGGCACGAACTATGAAAGAAACACTTTACTCCATATGTTCGTTCATGTACAGAAAATCTAGGGTATTTATAGTAATTTAGATGGCCTTGGACTTCCGGAAAATTCTGGAACGCTACTTAACATAGTAGCAGTTTAGGTAATCATCCAATCAAAAACTCGACATGTGACGTTTCACTTTCTAGATGTTTCCGGCGAAACGTCTAGTGAATGCTGATTGGATAAGACGATTCTCAGTGTTTTCAGGGCCTTTGTTGGCTTTTTCGGAGATTTTTCTGGATCGCCTCACCAGAATCTGGTATTCAGATTATACGAATACATTCGATTAGAAAAATGCAGCTTACATCTATGATTTACTAACAACAAGATTAAAGTTTTTGGAACGGTGCTTGAATAATTGCATGACATTTACCACTTCGATAATTCATAATTATTTCAATAGTTAAAATCATGAGTCAATTGAAGCTAGACCACCATGGGAAACTTGGAAACACTAGACGGCCGTTTCGTCCTAATGTGGGACTCCTCAGCAGTACTCATCCACGATATAAATAGTTGATTAATTTCAACTAAAAATGTCTCCATTGACAAGGTGAAGTTGAATATAAGACTAAACCATCTATAATAATGAATGTTTTACAAGATTGAAATTCGTTGACTTACTGTATTTTCACTGAATTCTTCTAAAAGTCCATTATAATACAATGGTCCCTTAATTTGCATTAATTGATGTAATTCACCATGAATTAACATACGCCATACACCTTCACGATATGGAATAGGTATACCAGAACGACAAAGAACTTCTAAATCAGCCTTAAAGAAGAAAATTTATCGGTGGTATTTCAACTGTTATAAATGGAACGTTTTATATGATACTCAGGGTTTCGAAGAAATCATTAAAAGGCTCTATATCTTTAATTTATGCTAATTGATACATTATCAAATGCCCTGGTACAACCAAGAGTAAGGAAAGTCAACTCACCCTCTCGAAATGTTCTCACGTGGCCACGTGCATACAACCACTGCTACGAAAGTCCCACTCACCGCCTTCTTCCACCAGGAGTGTTTTTTACGAAATTGAGAGAACGAGAACCGAATGTCCGGCGACTTGACTGAGCTGATGGATATGGAAGATCCACCCACGGGAGTTGGAAAACCCTGATTTCAAACCAATAGTGCACATGGGTTAGCGCCAGTATCCTGAAGGTAAAAATGGCGTATGAACCTATTGTTGGTGACCGGCATCTCCAGAGCTCCTTCTTGATTCTTTCTCTCACTGCAATCTGGTTTGTCCTCTCACATATTAGGTCATTGCTGATAGTGTCTGGCCAACGGATCCGAAGTATTTTGTGTAGACAGCTGTTAATAAACACTTTCATCTTCTGGATGATGACTTTCCTAGTTCTTCAAGTTTCCGTCCCATTCAGTTGAGCTGCTTTGACATTTGTATTGGTGTTGGTTGTTAGACAGTTGTTTTGAGTTTCAGATATTCTTAACGTTAAGCTTTACTCTTAATTCTACATCAAATCTGATTTCAACCTCAATCTGAACTCTATTAAACACTGAAATGAAATGTCACTACTTCTTTAAACTTGTATACGATGTTTTCAGTTTAGCATTCTGGAGGAATTCATGATTCTCAATAATTCAACATCTTATAAGTATCCACTAAAATGAATCAGAATACGGTTGATAGTTAACATCTTGTTTTGATATATGCTCCATGACCGTTGAAATGTATTTCTCAATCCTGATTGATTGAAACTAATGCTTATTTTATACATACAGAGATTTACCCAGTTCGAGTCTAGTTTTCGTTAGAAATTGACATTGATTGGAAGTTTGTTAATAAACTAAAGGTAGAAGATAACTAGTTTGTTGTAGTTTAAGATTCCATATGGCAATGAACGTTTTACTTACTTATTTACTTACGCCTGTTACTCCTCGTGAAGGAGCATAGACCACTCACCAACATTCTCATGGCAATGAAGCATACTTAGAATTTTATATAGAATCAGATAGTGACTTCAAAATTGATGTCCCTTTACATTAACTGAAATCGAAACGAGTATCTTATTATCAGATATCAGTCTTGATAAGTCTAAACGTATCAAATGCTTGTGTTCGCATCTCATCTCAAGATCACACAGTGAGTAGGAGATTTTTGACAAGGAACTCTACTGGAGTAATTCGATTATACATTTAGTCAAAGTCTTAACCTACATATCCTTAACCTGGTTGGAACGAGGATTGCATAAAAACCTATGATTTGTGTCTAGTGAAATTTGGTTGGTAGGAAAACTTCCCGATTCATTTCATTCGTATGATCTGAAGAGTAGGTTTAGTTTACTGTAAGTTTATAGTAGGAGAATGGGATAGCAAAAAACGTGGAAAATTTCACATGAAACATTATTATAATTATTAGGCGAGACTATAATTTATGGACGAATCAATCAGGTGTAAGATAACAGCTCTCGGATTTTGGAGCGAAATTCATCCATCCATTTGGCTAAATAGAGTTTTGGCATTATAGATGATGTCAGTTCGTGACGAAAACCCTAAATGTAACTCTTAACCCTAACCATGAACTGTAAGTAATAATTCTAATTCCTTACACTGGTTTATAACCGTCATTTAGCCTCAGTAAGTAGGTGAACACCCTCAATGTCACTTCAACGTCGTTCGAAGGTCATCGGTAAATTATAGTCTCACTTATTATTATTATTATTATTATTATTATTATGTATACAGCTTACTCTTGTCAATTCTCTATTTGCTTGGGTTAAAAGTTCAGTCCAACGATAGAAATTTTCATCCCCACCAGATAATTGACGTGTATAAAAGTCATATAGTTGTTGACAACTATAATGAATAATACTGGTTTCATTTAAATAACTATGCTTGAATCCATAAAAATCCACATGATAATCTGCAGTTTTTGGTCTACAGAAGAAATAATAAAAAAAATATATAAATGGTGGATGTATCTCTGAATTTTGTGGATTATTAGAAGTTAAACATTAACACCGTTGGATGCCGACCACCTCAGTGGTCTAGTGGGTAGACGCCCACGCGCGAGATTGGCAGGTCCCTGGTTCGAGTCTCACAAGGCGGGATCGTGGATGAACACTCTTGAGGAGTCCCACACCGGTACGAAAGGGCCGTCCAGTGCTTCCAGGTTTTCGATAATGGTCTAGCTTCAATTGACCGATGATCTGAACTATTGAAAGTGCTCTAATATTCACAAAACCCCTTCTGAAAAAAGTATATGTAAAATATATTCAAGATATCACGAAAGTAAATATCATGCATGCACTGACCACGCGCCCTAATGTGAATTGACTTCGATCGAGATTGAAGCCATGGCACCTAACTTATAACAGTTCACATACAATTGAGTTTATTCACATTTAACTTGGTTAATCCCTTTTGTTAACTTATTTAACGGATAGAGACATTAGTACAACAACAACTTATTTATATCATTGTACCTTTATTGTTGTTGCGCTTGTATGAATGTGTATGCTGAAGCATCGCTTACTAGCTACGCATATATTTAATCAGCTAGCTTTACTTATTAGTCACTTAATTGATTCGATGATTCATTCATTTCCCTATGTATGTATATGTACATTTTAATCCTGTTCGTTGACTCGCCGACTGGTTCATTCGACTTGCACGTTCACTCTCTTGCCTGTTTGCTTTTCGGCACTACTATCTCATGCTTGCTTAGTGTACCTATAAATTTGGATATCTGTGTGGTGCAATAATAAACGTAATCAACGCTTTGCATTCATTTTTTGATTAGTACACCGTTGGTACGTTATCAGTAAGACTATAATTTATGGACGACTTTGAGCGACGTTGAAGTGACCTTGAGAGTGGACAACTTCTAATTAGGACTAAATGAGGTTTATAAATCAGTTAGAATTCTCATTCACGGTTGATAGTTAGGGTTAAAAATTAGATTTAGGGTTTTCATTACGAACTGACATCAACTATAATGCCAAAACTCTATTTAACCAAATGTATGAATGAATTCCGCGCCTAAATTCGTGACTCGTCATCTTATATCTGATTGGTTGGTCCATACATTGTAGTCTCGCCGCGTTATCAAGTGACGGTTATCAGGACGAGATGTATACGAAGTTAAGGATTATATGGAGTACCGACCACCACAAACTCAATAATTATAACAGTCAAGCGCTACCACGAAACTTATTAGTTGAAGATATTATTCTTGGTAGGTTCATAGGTGTATATTTTTGGGAAGTACAATACGAGGACAGAACAAATGTTTGGTGTTCATTTGTTTTTAGTCTTAACCCAGATGAGATCAATTTATGATGAATACAACCTACAAATAAATAATAAACCTTGAAAGGATTGGGTTCTTTATTCATTCTAGTTTAGTAATCCAAAGAATAGTCCACGAATTATCGCGGTTAGAGAACCTACCTGATTAAACTCTATCGGTTAGGAATTAATGCTAGAGAATAGGAAATTATATACACAGTACACTACTAGTTACACAGATAGATATGTGAGGATTTTATTTCACATTAAGGAGATTTATCTCCACCGTAGAATTCTTAGCAATCAAAGAATGATAGATGGTAGTTTTGATGACTGAAGTGCTATGAACGTATACTTCTAAGGTGATGATAACTAATAAATTAAATAAAACATGTGTTCAGTCCTATCTGAGATTTAAATATTCCAATTAATAACTAAAATCTTGATGATGGATAGTGGCTAACAGTGAAATCCAGGATTCACGTTTCACCCTATTTGGGACTCGTCAGCTAGATGTACCTGCATCTCAGAGCTGGTATTCACTCTGGGACACTAACCCAGTACTGTTCGCTTCAAGCTTCATCACGTTATCTGAGACTCAGTAGCTAAGTGGACAACGCTATGGCGTTTGGAGCGAATGGTACTGGGTTCGAGTCCCAAGAGTGAACATCGACTCCGAGATGCAGCTACATGCAGCTGATGAGTCATAAATAGGATAAAATGCGCGTCCTGGTTTCCACTGCTAGCCACTGTCTATCTTCGCTTATAATGCTTGTGAATTAGCGCAATATCAAGGCAATCCGCACAAGATGCATATATGCCAGTAAGAGACTGATCAATTGCAGTCCTAAGCATCAATGGGAAGATTCAAGTAAACAATACCAAGTGAATTTAATAATCCTTATAATTTGCCTGATATTTGTGACTTCAGTCATTTCGGTAACTACTATGGTTTCAGTGTTATTATTTTTTAAATAATTTAATAGTTGAATTCATGAGTCAATTAAAGCTAGACCACCATGGAAAACCTGAAAGCACTGGACAACTGTTTCGTCCTACCGTGGAACTTCTCAGTATTGCGCATTCACAATCCCACCTCATGAGATTCAAAACCAGGACCTATCAGTCTCGCGTACGAACGCCTAACCTCTATATAGCTGAGCCGGCATCCAAAGGTGTTAACGTTTAACGTCAATCAATATAAAACAAAATTCATTTATTACTAACGAAATTCTTGATTTGTTCTTTTAGAAAAAACAACCACACTTTTTTTTAACTACACTGAGGATCACTTGATTATGAGGTTAAATGAAACAAAGTGTATGTTAGCAAAAACATGAGCCATTGAAACGCTAGAACGACTGGACAGCTATTCAGATTGGTTCGCGATGTCTATAAAAGACAACAATCCTCACAACTCGATACTGTAAAAGTGTTTTTCGTTTCAGTATTGAATGTATCATATATCTAATAGTGTTAATCAATTCAAACAAATCACAAATCTGTGCTTAAATGTTCATTGAAATCATCATAATCGAATGATCTACAAACATAATCTTGATTCTTTATTAAAGAAAGACATTCATTTTCATTTTCAAATTAATCAACAACATCATTGTATTCACTCACTTAATCATTGTTGGTAAACTTGGATCTTTACGTCTTGCTTCATCCAATAGTTCACTGATTAAATTTTTATACTAAAACAATAAGAAAATGATAAAAGATTTACTCTCTGTGTTTTTTTTAACTAAGAATGTACTTATTTAAACACAAAAACATTGGTAAAAGAAGTCACCAAATAGATATGCGCCGCATAAATCATTCGATTTGTGTAAGGGCTAGGTTACTGCCTGAGTGTCCAGACCGAAACAGGTGGTTTCCTTACGAGGTCAAATCTCGAATCTTTGACCTAAAGATCTGATCCACAAGGCAGTGGAGCGATGTCAGCAGATGCAGTCCCATGGTAGCCGGTGACCAACAATAGGTTTATACACCATTTGTTCCTTTGGGATCCTGGAGGCAGCTCGTGTGCACCATTGGTTTGTAATGATGGTTTTTCAACTCCCGTGGGTGGATCTTCTATATCCACCAGCTCAGTTAAATCGCCGGACATTCGATTTTCGTCCTCTCACTTTCGTAAACAACACCCCCATCATGAGAATTCAGTGAGTAAGACTTCCCTGTCAGTAGTTGTATGCACGTGGCCATGTAAGAGGATTTCGAGAGGGAGAGTTGACTCTCCTTACTCTCGGTTGTACCAGGGCATTTGGGGGCTGAGGTTGTATGGAGATTATTCAATTAAACGTTAGTATAAACCATGGAAGCATATAAAGTTCGATAGGACTAGTAAATTTCCATTGAATAAACGGTCTATTGAAATTCCTAGGCCACCGTTGTTCCATACATAATTTGAATATCATAAATTGTTTTAAGTTCGTTATAGTTCGCATATCTTGTCTGCAGAAGGAGTGTGTTTACATCTTTCCGTAAAAGATTTGAAAATGTTTGCAAATTCGATTACACAAGAGTTTTCTAAGTGATCCGTACTTTTTCCTCCGCTTGTCTTTGAAGAAATTACTGAGGAACTCATATGCCAACTAAATTACACAAAAAAACTAACATGTCATGGATTCAAGACTATTTGGAAACATAGTTTATATAAAACGGGAATTTTGTTGCTGAGGACAAACCAACTTCAAGGTGAATAGGAAATTAGGAAACGACTTTGGAGATGGATGGCACATACAATACAAAAATGACCAAACTGCATCGACAAGCGAGTCCTAACTTGGAATCTTGAAGGGAAGTGGAAAAGAGGAAGGCCGAAGAACACACAACACGTCGGGAAACGGAAGTAGAGATTAAAGGGATGAACATCAACTGGAAAAGATTGCTTAGGACAGGGGTGAATGGAGGGTGTTGATATGCGGCCTATTGTCCTCTGTGAGGAGTAACAGGTGTAAGTAAATAGGTAAGTAATTTTGTATTTCGTACTGAGAACTAAATGGATTAACTCTTGGAACATTTTACAAAACAGTGACTTATGAAATTATTGTTTATATTTTCAGTTGCTTGTAGAGGACATTATAAGAGAATACCTTCAGTTATCATCAAAAACCTTCAATCGTCAATCCGAAAGGATAAAGTACATTCATATCTCATGGTGAGCAAGATATAAATGGACCATATGAACATAATATATCAGTCCACATTTCCAGTTCCATTCAACTCACAAAAAAATTGTGACCAATATAGGAGCCTCATTCACAATGTAGTTGAACTTCAGCAGTCAGTTCTTATGATTGAAAATTTGGTTAACAATGAGGACAGAAGAGAAATAGAAAAAGAATAGAGAAACCAAAGCACAAGTGGAGAGTGAAGAGAAAGTCTCAAAACTAATGAATTATTTATATGGAGATTTTGTTTAGCGGGAAAACCATTGAATCGAAGTGAAAAATTGAAATCAGTTTTACACTACTTAAATAAATCATTAGTAGTATGAATCCAAAATCACAAAATAGAAACAATATATCACTTAAAATGACACTCAGTATAGACTTTATCCTAACAGTTGTATTTTCAAGTTTTTTATACCCAATGGTCAAGAGTAGATTAAATAATTAAGATAAAGAAACTATACCCCTTTACTGATTAAGTGGTACTATACTGTATGTTAATTTAATGGGTCATCTTTCTCAATGTTAAATATAACTAACCACTCACTCGATCTTTACCATAATCACTAAACATTAATCGATGATGTGGATCTGTTTGTGTAGCACCAAGACATGCTTGTAATAGTTTAACATATTCACGTCGCCATTTAAATCCTTCCATGTTTAAACGTTGAATGTATCTTGGAAAAATATCAAACATTATAAAGAATATCGTTAGGTTTAAGTAAAGTATCGAAGAAATGACCATCGAGAATGTAACATCAAAATGATGGCGCTCATATCGGACGACGTCAAAGCCTATAATAATGATTAGATATTGACAACAGGTATGAATTATTGGAAAAAATAATTGCCTGTAGCCCCTCCAGGGGCTACTGCCGGTCCCAATCCCGAATAAAGGAGGAGGGTTGGGGATGGGGCTGGCGATACCATCCCGTAAAATACTAACTCCCTAAAAAAACGCTAACCAGAAAAAGATTATTCATATTACCTATAGCGTAAAAATGAAATGACTGTGTATGAGATTAAAAGAGTATCGTTACAATTAGGATTTTAGGCTATAGTCAGAGTTAAGGGTAGAGTTTATGGACTGATTTGAGCTTAAAGAATACGTAGGCTGAATCTGAATCCCTTTCCATAACAAAACTTACCAACGGTTAAAAACTTAGAACAGTTCGTTAATCATATGGAAATAACTAGTAAGGCTATCAATTTCGTTCATTCTTTCTGGAGATTAGTTTCAAATTCTCTCAAGTTCAAAGTGACAATTATATATTGACACCACATGCGTTCTAGTTTATTTGAAGTTTTATCCGTAAACAATGTTACCAGGAGTGAATTGCATATCGCACATATGACCCATAATGTAATTAGATGTTTTCTTGATACAACCACGTAAAACTTTAACGTAAGATAATTGCGAATACTGGAAATGATGGCAATCAAAGCGAAAGAAAACGAATCGATGATAATTTCAGTAGTTGAGATCATGAGTCAATTGAAGCTAGACCACCACCATGGAAAACCTGGAAGCACTGGACGGCCATTTCGTCCTATTGTTGGACTCCTGAGAAGTATGCATCCACGACCCTGCCTCGCGAGAGGCGAACCCAGGACCTATCAGCCTCGCGCTCGAGCGCTTAACCACTAGCCCACTGAGCCGGCATCCAACGGTGTTGATATCCAGTCCAAGTAAAGTTGGAAATATGAACCAATCGATTCAAACACATATTTTATAGACTTTGTATTCTTCATGAGACTCAAGGCTATTGGTGGGCACTATAGAGACTACTTTCCACTAATCGCGACTAGTGAAGATTAACCATATTGAAAGTAGGAATAGATATTGTCAAATTAAATGAAGTAAAATTATTGGGCTCCCCTAATCACTATAACATTAGGTACTTACTCTACTTAGGCCTGTAACCCTTCGTAGAGGACCACAGACCGCCCACCGCTCTCCATTCAACCCTGTCCTGAGCAATCCTTTCCAGTTCTTTCCAGTTGTTATTCATCCTTCTCATATCTGCTTCCATTTCCTGACATAATGCGCACTTCGACCTTCAACCTTTCCGCTCCCCTTCAAAATTCCAAGTTAGAGTTTGTCTCGTGATGCAGTTTGATGATTTACGTAATGTATGGCTTATCCATTTCCATCGGTCTTTACCTAATTTCCTCTTCAACTGAAAGCTGGTTTGTTCTCTCCCACAGAAGGCTGTTACTGATGGTATCCGTCCAACGGATATTGAGTATCTTGCGTAAATAACTATCTATAAATACTTCTATCATTTTGATGATAGTTGTGATAGTTCTCCATGTTTCAGCTCTGTACGGTAGGTCTGTCTTGACATTCGTATTGAAGATTGTGATTTTGATGTTGATTGACAGTTGTTTTAAGTTTCATATGTTCATCAATTGTAGGAATGCTGCCCTTTCTTTGCCAATCCTCGCCTTTATGTCTGCATCCGATCCTCCTTGTTCATCAATGATGTTCGCCAAGTACATGAAAGATTCCACACTTTCCAGAGTTTCTCTATCAAATGTGCTTAGGTTGGTGTTCTCCGTGTTGTCTTTGAGGATATTGCTTTTTCCTTTGTGTATGTTGAGGCCTACTGATGCAGAGGTTGATGCTACACTAGTTGTCTTCATCTGCATTTGTTCGTGTGTGTGGTTTTGAGCTGTCCATTGTATTTCGTGCTACCACCCAGATATCGAGGTCTTCATAATCCAGTCGATCACCAAAAGAAAGAAGAAAAGCGAGAGTAAACAACCATGACTGACTCCAGTCCCAAACTGGGATGCATTCGTCAGCTATCCCCTATGCACGACTTTGAAGTGTAGTCCGTCGTATGAATTCCGTATGATGCTGACAATCATCTCAAGTACACTATAGTGTGAAAGTTACCATAAAGTCCTCAATTTTCTTAACCTTCTGCCTTCAAGCATTTTATTCTCGATTGGCGATGCATACATACTACTTATATCTGTCAATATCAGTAGTACACACACTACAGTAGCTTTAACAGACTTCAAAAAGACCCAGCTCCATACAAATTCTTCAGATAATATTAATCATTAATAGTAGTAATCATTTTTTTATATTGATTACTTACTTGGACATTTTATTTGAATGATCTGTGAACATATACTTGATGGAAGCTAATTCACGAATTTCTGTAATCAAGAATTGATTCTTTCTATTCAGAATTCTTTGTTTTTGTTCATAATCTTCAATCATATCTCTTAGTTTATTTGCTGAAATATTTTTGGGTCTAGAATAAAATTAAATAAGAAATCATAATTTACTCATAAGTAGTTACGCCAAATAAGTAAAATTTGCAACCTACAGAGGTTACAATATGGCAGCTGTATTGTAGTGAACGAGAATACACAAGTGGAGACAATCTCCATTTTTGTTTAAATTCATTACAAACCAACTGATGGAAATAACTTTCTTGTTGACTGAATTTTCGGGTATTGATCTCTTATCAGAAGGTCCAATTATCGACTTAGAATACGCTAATGATATAGTCCTATATAATGAAGATACTGATAAAATATGAAATCTTTTGATAGAACTAAGCAATAATGCCAGAATGTTTGAGATGCGTTTCTTCTCCTTTCAATACAATTTGTTGCTTCACAACTGGCCTGCGTTAACACCTGAACTAAAGATAGGGAGTGAGGTAATCGAATGTTTTGACAATTACACTTATCTTAAAAGTCTGATCAGACCTAATGGATTGGTGTCCGATGAAATCTCTACACCGATTCAGAAATCTCATTTGGCTTTTGCCAAATTACGTCATATATGGCAAAGACGAGATATCCGTCTATTAATTAATGGACGAATATATTGTACAGCAGTTCGTTCTGTTCTAATTTATGGCTGAGAAATCTGACCATTAAGAGTAGAAGATACTCGTTAGCTACTAGTATTTGACCACAGATGTCTTAGAGATATTGCTCTCATCTACTGGGATCACCAACCAAGTAATGGTGAGGTTAGATGCAAGGTATTAGAGAATGATGGTAAATCAGTTGATGAGGTTATGAATTTTTATCGACTGAGATGATTAGACCACGTGTTACGTATGTCTGAACACCGATTACCACGCTGCTCAATGCTGACCAGTGTTGAAGATAGTTGGAAGAAAGTTGTGGGCGGTCAAACCATAACGTGGCATCAGTTCTTGAAGTCACTATCTTCTAGTCTGAACCATGTTGATAGATGCAGATTACTTGGTTGGTATCTTCGTGACTATCGTAACCAATGATTGGAGACTGTGTGTTACATGGCTCAGGATCGATCACAATGGCATCGGTGTATACACTCTTTGTCTTCTCCTAAACCATGAGATCAAAACTGGTTTATATCTTTCTTTGTACGAGCTAATTCTTTCTTCCTGTATTATATCCTTATACACAATCTTTCTTTTATATATTACGACCATTGAATTAACTACTTCTATGAGTTTGTTGTTCATGCTGTTGTGTTAATGAAGTGTGGCAACTTGGACTGGTGAATATACGTGGTTGGTCCTACATTTTAGCTGAATGACTAATTGAGTAAACAGAACGACGTAGTAGAGTCTAAGAACCATACAGTTAATACTTCATTTGCAAAATGTCGTCTTAGACTTCATTTTTCCTTTGTTTTCACAGCAATCATTGTCTGTTCTCGTTCTCTTTTCTTTGATCTTCTTAAGCCTCCACCACCAGCTATTTCACTTTTGACTGGTGATACATACTGCTTATATCTATCGACATCAGTAGAATACACCACATTACGTTTATATTTTTACCGCATTTTTATTGGACTTAATTTCTTTGATTTTTATATTTATCAGTATGGGGTTGTGGAGATTATTGTCTTATTGATGGAGATCATAAAATCGATCAATGTTGGACCAACAAGGAAAACCTGAAATCATTGGATGACTGTTTCATCTTAGTATGAGGTTCCTCAGGAGTGCGCACTCAAAATCTCGCACACGGGGTTCGAATCTAGGATTTTCGATCTTTTATATTTCCCTAATTTCATTCATTAATTGTTAATACATTCTGTTCTATTTGCAAATTATTGCAAATTAATTATGAACGTTCTATCCAGATTTGCTATTTCAAATGTCCTGGTTAGATATATATAGTAACTTATTATTCATATTACGCTGTAGTTCTTAAGATGGTGAAGAAGGTTTGTCAGTCAGTCAGTCAGTCATTCATTCAAGGTCTCTAACGATCGGTTGCTATCGTCTCGCGGATCCCAACCAGGTTGATGATTTAGATTATTATAGTTCTATAATTCATTTATAAGCCCATCTGGGTTTTTAAGTCAAATGTTTAGTGCTTACACTGATTGTTTCACTCTCGTTTTCTGATTGAGACTTGTGTATAGGAAATCGGTGTGCATCAATATACTTTAGTATACTAGGTCACTTAGTTAAGAAATGAGTACTTTCAGTTCAGTCTTATCAGGGCTGAGAAACTGTCCGGGTGCCCTAGCCGAAACAGGTGGTTTTCTTAGAGGGCCACACCCGGAGCCTTTGACTTAAAGATCTGATCCGCAAGGCAGTGGAGCGATGTCAGCAGATGCAGTCCCATGGTAACAGGTGACTAACAATAAGTCTATACACCATTTGTTCCTTGAGGATCCTGGAGGCAGCCCATGTGCACCATTGGTTTGTAATCATCGTTTTCCAACTCCCGTAGGTGGATCCTCCATGTCCATCAGCTCAGTTAAATCGCCGGACATTCGATTTTCGCCCCCCTCAATTTCGTTAACAACAGTAATGCCTTGAGTAAGCAGTGAGTATGCATGTGGCCATGTAAGAGCATTTCATGAGGTAGAGTTGTCTCGTTTGTCATAATCTTGCATTTGTCCTGGATAATCTTTAACTCATTTTATGACCTTGGATATTAAGATAATTTGTCATTCGATTGCCTAATGTTTATCTGAACTCTTAATGTTCACAAATTTTCATAAATAATACCTTGACAAGTTTGTATATGACAAGATTGCTCTGAATATATAGCAAAAATACATCAAATTTTTCAGATTAACTTTATCTTCTCATTGTTAATTCTAAAATACAATGAAAATTTATTTCATCAGGAAGCAGTGAGTATATCTCTGAATGTTACTCTTCAAGTAAACATTCTATAATATGGAAGGTACTGGTGTTCCACTAAGCATCGAAACTTATATCAAATGAATCTATCATTGAACTATTCAAAGAACAACTGATATCCTGCAGGATTAATTGTCAATCAGACAGTTACAACGTAGAACCAGGCACATATATGCATTGATTCAACTTGCCACACTTCATTAGCACAACAACATGAACACCGAATTCATAGAAGTAGTTACTTCAATAGTAGTAATATATAAAAGAAAGATTGCATATAAGGATATAGTACAGGAAGAAAGAATCAGTTCGTAGAATGAAAGATATGAAGCGATTTTAATCTCATAGTTTGAGGGAAGACAGTGAGGGTATACACCGATGTCATTGTGACCGATTCTGAGCTATGTCATACACAGTCTCCAACCATTGGTTACGATGATCATGCGGACGCCAACCAACATGGTTCAGACTAGAAGTTAGGGACTTCCAGCACATTAACTGGTTACCAAGTGGTAATCAACATTATGTTGTTTAGTTTTTATTCTATATGAAATTCTACTGATCTACAGTTGTTCTTTTTGTGTGATCTATCCACGTTACTGGATACTGAACACTGAGTTATGTCTCATTTAACAGTTTAATTTACTTAAAAGAAGATTGTTATATATGATAATAAACACATTGACTTACAGTTTGAATATTGAATTATCTTTCACTTCTTTATTCTCAATATTTTCTACTTTTTGATCAATTTCACGCATACCAGCTTCACGACTAGATAACATTTGACGTAATGATGCTTCACGATCTAATGCTGATTGTAGTTGAGCTTTTAATTCTCTGGAAAATTACCAAAAAAAAATTACAAACAAAAGAATATTGGTAGCACTAAGCAACAATGCCAGAATGTTTGAGATGCGTTCCTCCTTCTTTAAATACAATTTGTTGCTTCAGGACTGGCCTGGGTCAACACCTGAACTTAAAATAGGGGCTGAACTAATCGAACGCGTTGATAACTTCACTTATCTTAGAAGTCTGATCAGCCCTAATGGATGTGCACCACTGAGGAGTCCCATAGTAGGAAGAAACGGCCGTCCATTGCTTCCAGGCTTTCCATGGTGATCTATCTTCAATTGACTCATGATCTCAACTATTTAAAAAAATATTTATTTGATTATTCATGCTGTACTTATACCTATTCCCTTGTTGTTGTTTGGCTTGTATGCTTCCCATTGAGGTTTAACACTGCAATTGATCAGTCTGTTATTGGCATATGTGCATACTGTGCGTATGCCTCGAAATTGCCTGAACTCACAAGCTATTTGTAAGCAATGATGGATACTGGCTAGCAGTCGAATCCAGTTTGACGTACGTTTCGTCCTGTTTGGGACTGGTCAGCTGGATGCACCTGCATCTCAGAGTTGATATTCACTCTGGGACTCGAAGCCGTTACCATGCCAATAATAGACTGATCAATTGCAGTCTTAAACTTCAATGGGAGGATACAAGCAAAACAACGCCAAGTGAATTTAAATTCACCGCATTGCACAATCGAGTGGCCACCAGGACTCAATAGCTGAGTGGGTAACGCGGTGGCGTTTGAAACGGATGGTACTGGGTTCGTGTCCCAGAGTGGACATCAACTCTGAGATTCAGGTACATCCAGCTGAAAATTCCCAAGTAACACAAAGTGGTGCTCGTCCTGGATTCCACTGCTAGCAACTATCCATCTTTGCTTGTTCTTATTCCTCTCTTTTTGATGGAGTATTGTTCTCTGAGCAAAATGGTTTGATCGTATAGCTTTCATTGTTCTTCTGAACGACATCATCATCAGTACAAACTTCAGGTAGAATTGAAGTGTGTGAATTTGTCTAGATGTGGTTCACAGCTTTACCTGTAGATCTCGATGTTGATTGGTTCTTGTTGACCTTGAATCTGTCATTGTTTACTTTTTTGTTTTGGTTGTATCTTCCATTGATTCAATTTTTGGTCCTATATTTGTCCTTAATTGTTCTGATTGATTGGTAAGTTGAATCGACTTCAATATGTTTGTTGATTGCTGATTGGCCTAATTGCCTTCATCCAAGATTTCAATATTCTTCCAGATGAATGTATGCCCACAGTTGTTCACATGAATTAATATAAACGACGATATATCATGACGTTTGACCGTTTGTACAGGTGAAGATTCAGAGGGTGTCCACTTTGTCCGATGTAATGCTTGTCGCAATTGGAATAATTTATTTTGTAGATACTGTTCAGTTTTTTATTCTTTTGTCAAATCTAATTACTTATAAAATCACCTATACGCCTAATCATACTGTCGTATGTTAGCATGAAACATTTATATACACTTTAATATTTTTTTCAATAACTCTTTAATTTAATTTCAGATATCAGAAGGGTTTTTGTGGATAATATAGTAATTTCAATAGTTGAGATCATGTATAAATTAAAGCTAGACCACCATGAAATACCTGGAGGCACTGGTTGGCCGTTTCTTCCTATTGTGGGACTCATCAACATTGGGCATCCACGATACCGCCTCTCGAGATTCGAAACCAGGACCTATCAGCGCTTAACTACTAAACCACTAAAGTGGTTGGCATCCAACGGTATTAATGTCTAACTTCAACTAATCCAGAAAATTGAGTGACATATTCAGCATTGTCTTCAGTGAGTTACTATCTCACAACGAACCTGGTTGAACTCCACTGGTCACTGCTTCACACTAAATCTCCAGGAAATACCTCTTGAAGCCAGTCACTAGTGAGCATATGTTGATTCATATCAGAAGTGGTTTTTGTGAATATTATAGTAATTTCAATAGTTGAGATCATGAGTCAATTGAAGCTAACCACCACAGAAAGCTTGGCGGTATTGTGGATGCGCACTACTGAGGAGTCTCACAATAGGATGGAACGACCATCCAGTGCTTCCAGGTTTTCCATGATGATGATCTAGCTTCAACTGACTCATGATCTCAACCATTGAAATTGATATCAAATAATTATAACAAAACTTTTAGTTTAATCTAGAAAGAGAAAAAAGCTATCAAAAGAAATCATGAAACAATTTACCTTATATAGTCATTTGGTGATAACTCATTTTCTAAATCAATATCACTATCACTAAATGTTCGAGGATTTTGTAGTATTATTGAACTTTGATATTTAGCTGATAATTGATTTGTTAAATATTCACCAGTTGATATTTGTTGTCCTGGATACTGTCGTTCAGATGATTCTTGAGGACCTATGATAATTTATAACAATGATTACAATAAGTAAGTGTAACTGATTTCCATAAGAGAATGTTGTTAGTAGCATATTGTGAAAAGTTTTGTTAAACGTTGATCACATAAAGTTGATTCCCGTTTCAAATACTCTAAGATTCATCTCAAAAAAAGCCCTAAGAAGAATGAATGTAGAAGAGGCAAAATACGAAAGGGCAAAGTGGCATAACCTTCAAGGGTGATGGATCTCAAGAGGAATGAGGTAGTCAAGTTTCAGGTGAACCCGAGGAAATTGTCTTACACAAGAGATTTTAAAGAGGGGAGGTGTGAGGATGGCCCAAGGGTGAACTTGAGGAAGTTCTAAGAATCTCTGAAAGAGCCGAAGATATTCGATTCAATCATCTTTTGAAAGAATATTTCAGAATCTCTACATGTAGCTTCCGTACTGGACAATTGTTAAGAACTTCTGTATGCGGATTCAGTAACTATAATGATGATTTTGTTTTTACTATAAGAAACTATAAATACCTCACATGGAATCCTTAGGACCAAAGGAAAAGAGGAAGACCAAAGAACACATTACTATTTTAAGAGACCAAATTAAATATCTGAATAGTGTAACCTGTTTTTATAATCAAATGTTACCTAATAATGTCCGTTTACATAAGTTCTTTAAGTTTTGGTGGTAATTCATAACCGATGGAGTTTATTCATGAACGTAAAGCAGATAATCATTGAGTAGACGAAGTTCTACTGCTGACTGTACAGAAGTGTGACAGCAGTAAGGTGTTTCCTCCAGACAACCAACATAACAGTGATGCTGCCTTCTCACAAAGAGGAGTAAGACTGGAAAAGGCTGACCCTAAAAATACACATCTCGTCTTATCCCAACGATATCCATCTCCAGCGATAAAGTCTCAACAATTACGGAGCTAACACGAAAAATACTCGCAAAATGTTCGTGTGCGACCGACCTCAATCAGTTGTCCCTTGAGTACTATAGTCAAGCTCTCAGGTCACTAAGACCATGTCTAACCTAATTTTCTTGCCAGACACCTCTAGAAGAACCCTTTCACCGTGTGTGCAACCGGAAAATGATTACCGCCCTCATACCTCTAACAACACTCAAGACTGAATCATTCAGTAAGAATAAGCTGAAGATGGAAATACCGACTGATGTTAACTTGTAACTGAAATTATCTACACATAATTAGTTGAAGAAAAACAATTCAATGAGATAATAAGTTCTGTACTGATAACGATGCTTAAAATTTGCAAATGGAATTAGTTGTCAATCTTCTTGACAGCATCTCTCCAAATGGTTGGCATATTTTCAATATGAGATTATGGAAATTGTTGAAATAAAGGAAGTTTTTTCTTTTATACAAACTAAAACATTTCGAAGGGTGTTCGTTGTTCTGCGCTGTTTTGAAGATCCTTTAGAGTTCTTCTGTTGTACCATAATAGTATGATAAAACTATAGTGCTAATCCATTATTATTTGGTAACAAATCGTCTTGTTTGATTTCACTTTTAATCATCTTCATAGGAAAATTATTAAACTATAAGGCGTTAATTATATACTTTCGTCCCCTCCGTTTGTCCTCTTCAGACGCAATAATCTTCTTCACTATTCTAAAATGACTTGGGGGGGTTAAAGAGAGAGTTTGTTGTTTGCATTTCTTTATGTTAACTGATCTGATTTCATTCATACATTGAACTTATTATGAAAAGAATCTTAATGTATAAAACTAAAAATGATTATGATTAAATATTATATCTTTGAAGTAAAACCAGTAAATATTGTGGTGTGTACTACTGATATCGACAGATATAAGTAGTATGTATCATCAGTTGAAAATGAAATACCGGACAGCAGAAAGTGAAGTGCGAGGAGAAAAGAAGAGAGCGAGAACAAAGAGTGATTAGTCAAAAAAAAGAATCAGTCAATTCTGAGGCAATTGATTGACTGTATGGTTCTGTCATTTTGAACTCATATACGTTTAGTTGTTCCCACTCCTGCTCTTGTTCACTATAATATTGATTGAGATCATGAACCGATTGATGTTAGACCACCATTGAAAACCTGGAGTCACTGAACAATCTTTCCGTTCTATTTTGGGACTCCTCAGCAGTACGCATCCACGAACCCGCTCGCGGGATTTGAACCCAGAGCCGTCCAATGCTTCTAGGTTTTAATGGTGGTCTAACACCAATCGGTTCATGATCTCAATCGATAACTTATTGATCTCCACAACCTTATATTGACACTACAATATTACGAATTTTCTAAATACTCCCCTTAAACAATCAATATATTTATATGAAATAATAGAAGATAAATGTAGAATTAACTAATTCATCTTTGTAATTTACCTTCAATCATTTCTGAATCACCGAAAAATTTATTATCTAATTAATAAAACAAACGTATAGAATAAAAATATGATTTAAAATAATGAATAAGACAAATTAACAACGATCCTAATATATTATATATACTTTCTCCCCCCCCGGTTTCCTTTTTTTTCATTTTGCTCCTTTTTCCTGTCATGGTCCTTTTACCCTTCTTTCATTTTTTGATGTTTTTCCCAGTGCGCAGTTTAAATTTAAATTTTTTTTGTTTTTTCATTCAACTTTAATTCTTTGTAATTTTGTCATTTTTATTGAGCCTTTTCCCCCTTTTGCCCTTTTTTTCCCAATTGAGGATTATTCCAGTTCCCAAAGGTTGTTTTCCCTTATTGGCTTTTCCTTTGTTGGCGAGACTGCTGCTACACTGGTGTCTTCATCTGCATCTGTTCGTGTGTACGTGATAGGAGGGCTAGGTCATCTGCGAAGTCCAAATCGTCTAATTGATTCTGAGCTGTCCATTGTATTCCGTGTTTTCCTTCAGATGTTGAGGTCTTCATAATCCAGTCGACCACCAGGAGAAAAAGGAAGGGAGAGAGTAAACAGCCTTGTCTGACTCCGGTCCTTACTTGGAATGCATCTGTCAGCTGTCCTCCATGCACTACTTTGCACTGTAGTCCGTCGTATGAGTTCCGGATAATATTGACAATCTTCTCAGGAATTCCGTAGTGTCGAAGAAGTTTCCATAACGTCCTCCTGTCTACACTGTCGAATGCCTTTTCATAATCAATGAAGTTGATGTATAGTGATGAGTTCCACTCAACTGATTGTTCGACGATGATCCGTAGTGTTGCAATTTGGTCTGTGCACGACCGATCCTTACGGAATCCAGCTTGTTGATCTCGAAGTTGGGCGTCTACTGCATCCTTCATCCGGTTCAGCAACAATCTGTTGAAGACTTTCCCTGGTATTGACAGTAGTGTTATGCCTCTGTAGTTTTCACATTTGCTCAGATCTCCTTTCTTTGGAATCTTGACGAGGTGTCCTTCTTTCCAGTCCATCGGCTATCAAATGATCTGGTATGGCCGTGAGAGAGGAGAGTAAGCTCTCACTCCACGATCCACTACACTGGTCATCAGTGGATTTCAACTAGGTCGGTTGAGAGATAGTAACTCACTGAAGACAATAGTGGACAGTGGCAAAATTTTGTGAATTGGTGGAAGTTAAACAATAACACCATTAGATGTCAGCTCAGTGGTCTAGAGGTTAGGCATGTGGGACCGATAGGTCATGAGTTCGGATTCCGCGAGGGAGGTCGTGAATGCTCACTGTTGAGGAGTCCCATACTGGGAGGAAACAGCCGTCCAGTGCTTCCAGGTTTTCTATGGCGGTCCAACTATAATTGAATCATGAATTCAACTATTAAATTACTATAATATCCACAAAGACGCTCTCTAATAAAACTCAATTATTTACTGAGGTTATTCACTACTACTACTACTACTACTACTACTACTACTACTACTACTACTACTACTACTACTACTACTACTACTACTACTACTACTACTACTACTACTACTACTACTACTACTACTACTACTACTACTACTACTACTACTACTACTACTACTACTACTACTACTACTACTACTACTACTACTACTACTACTACTACTACTACTACTACTACTACTACTACTACTACTACTACTACTACTACTACTACTACTACTACTACTACTACTACTACTACTACTACTACTACTACTACTACTACTACTACTACTACTACTACTACTACTACTACTACTACTACTACTACTACTACTACTACTACTACTACTACTACTACTACTACTACTACTACTACTACTACTACTACTACTACTACTACTACTACTACTACTACTACTACTACTACTACCACTACTACGACTACTACTGTAACTTTGTGTAGTAAATCTTTACCTATTTTACTCAGATTCGTACTTTAATCTTCTATCTGGTTGATCCCATGTCATGATTCATTATCGGTCAAAAGTGTTATAAATGCATTCAATCTCTACCTACATAAGTTTTTCCATTCTAACATTTTCGTGTGCTTTTTATTCTATGATTTCATTCTTTTTCCTTGAAATTATACCAAATGTCTTGTACTCTTACTGATACTGTCACAACTTATATTACTATTAATGGTCTTTAGAAATTCTTATCATCGTTTAGCAACTTGGTTATATGCACATATATGCCAGTATCTATTGACTAATTTAGTGATACTATATGCTAATGAATAAGATTTCCTGAAATAAAGGAATTGTATTTAGGTCAACAATTTGTTTGAAAACACAATTACACTACACTATATATGAGATATTTGAAGCTAACAAGCTTTGAAGGATTCAAACACAATTGAATCAAGACGATTTTGCTATCAACATTGTCGAAAATAAACCAAATATCAAAATATCCCATATATATGCATAGGAAATTCTCTATATTTTCAGAGATATCTCTTTTGGCTACTAGTAACAAGAAGATAAAATCGATAGAGCATATCGATAAGTACAAATTACCAACTTACCATTTCTTGGTATCATGCTGTAATTTTCTTTTTCAATTTGATTAAATTCGTTAGACGCGGTGGAATTGGCGCTCGCTGAGAAATATATGTGTTTTATATGCATAAAAGATATCAAACAATAATATATATATACATATATTCACATGGATGAAGATGATAAAATCAAGAGTCCTAAACCCACTTCCTTCTTTTCACACAATTTCACTGACTGTTTTATGCTACTTATTTATATTCAGTAGCCAAAAACGTTACTCGTCAGAACTTTATACTTGAAAGATTACGGTGAGACCATAATTTAATGGGTGAACCAATCAGAAACAAATGTATGGTTTGAGGGTCACGGTGGTTATTTAATTACTCAATGCTTAGGTACGATCGGTTTACAGTGGATTTCAAGGAAGAATTTATAGTTGAGTGGCTACAACAAATGGGATTACTAAGAAATCCCTTGATTTGTGATTGTAGTGTTCAAATGACTGTTGGACTTTGAGCAGACTATAGCGACGATGTTGTATTTGAATGTAATACATAATACAGAAAATAGTCTTCTAGAACAGGGACCTTTTTCACTAGATTCCGACTGACACGAAGATGAGTTATGATAATTGTTGCAAACTGGATAATAAAAGCAATAGTAACACTGGCTGCAATCTTTGCAGATGTTACCGAAGCTTCACTAATGCAGGGGTATGAATGCTGTCGGGATATATGTGCAGTGAAAATGACTAGCTTGAATCAGTCATTTAGAGGAATCAGGGGAGTCGTAAACATCTACGAAACAACTGTTAGAGAACCTGAGTTCAATAGAGGAAGAAGTGTTAAAGAGGGCTGGGTAACTAGTAATTCCTTAAGTATAGTTAGCAGGTCTTTGGTATAAATGATAGATCATTTTAAAAAGGATACTTCCAGCGTGTGAGAAGACGACAGGTCACGACAATAATATTAATTATACGAAAGAACGTGCAGCTGGGTACCACAGTATACACGAATGACTGGAGATAATAACGATCCCTATATAGACTTGGTTACGTGCATCGTATGGTCGTTTACAAACGACGTTTTTTAGACCCCACCACAAGAGTAAACACCAATAATATAGGAGCGATATAGTCGGGACTATAAGATTTTTTGGAATCTTACTATGGCTCCACAGTTCGACTGTTATGGAGTCACATAGATGAGTTCCTGTACCAGAACTGCAAAGCCACTTTCTAACCTTGAAAAGTTTTTAAACTATGTTAATTTCTTGATATCGGTACTCAGAGCAATTCGAATGGCCAAATAGAAAGTTCTCTTCATCAAAAAGAGACCTGAGGTGAACTTAATTTAAATTTCAATAGTTTCTGCTTGATAATCTACAAAAAGGCTTTGATTAGAACACTGATTAATCGTTTATATTCAGGGGTGAAGACTAAAGACCAGTTAACTATAGTTGAAAGTGTCTACAAGATCATGGTTAGTCACAAAGTTCATCAGTAAGTTTGGCAGGACTAAAAAGGACGGACAGTTTACATATTAGTATCAAAGCATTTATGTTGGAAGAACAGAAATGAGTACACTTGTTTATATCATGGAGTATACTCTACAATGGTTGAGATTAAAAGATCAACGTATTTTCAACAATATCATTGCCCATTATTTTCTTGTTAGTGGATATAATGTTAATATTTTAAAATCATTCCAAATAATCAATGCTCAGAATACTTCAATTTCTTAGTTATCCCGATGCCATCCCTACTAGGTAGTTGAGTTCATGAGTCAACTAAAGCTAGACCACCATGGAGAGACCGATAGGTCCTGTGATCGAATCCCGCGAACAGGATCGTGGAAGCTCACTGCTCAGGAGTCCCATATTAGGAAGAAGCGGACACCCAGTTCTTCCAGGTTTTCAGTGATGGCCTAGCTTTAATTGACTCATGAATTCAACTATTATAATCATTCCTAATCTAAAACCGTTAATCTCCCAATCTTCGTTGTTATTATCTCAAGTATATACGTCAGTTGTAAATAATTATTGACAATCTTTCTAGGTTATTAGTAGCTGAGGAGAAGCCATAAAATAAATGAATACATCTTATTCCACTATGCACGGGATTCCAGCTTTATATAAACTACAAGTATTAACTGAGATGGTGGTGGCTAGAATCCAGGATACGCGTCCCGTCCAATTAGTGACTCGTCAGCTGGACGTACCTGTATCCCAAAGTTGTCCACTTCGGGACTCGGTAACCAAATGAATAACGCGATGGCATTTGAAGTGAACGGTATTGGGTTCGAGTCCCTGAGTGAACATCAACTCAGGTGCATCCAACTGTCGAGTCCCAAATAGGACGAGACGCGCATTCTGGATTCCACTGTTAGCCACCATCACCTCAGCTTATAATGCTTGTGACTTAAGGCAATATCGACGCAAGATGCACATATGTCAACAAGAGATTGATCAATTTCAGTCCTAAACATCAGTGTGGAGATTCAAGCAACCAGTAAACAAAGATAATATACTAACATTGTGAAAGAAAATAAAAATTAGCATCTTCAAGAGTCGTAGAATGATACTACATATATAATTTAAAGATATTAATAAACGTCTCCGTCAATTTCTTGCCATTTGGAAATTATTTACATTCCAATATCTTTGTGATACTGAACAAATTCGAGGATAATACGTCACTGTGTAATGGTGACCGGATGTTTTATTCTTCTCATTCTGTAGTGATAACTGAATTCGCTCAATCAATTTTTGTTCGGTTGCTAGTCGAACCGATTGAATATAGTGCGCACTATGTTGAGATATTAAGTGGCTGGTATTAGTCGCCAGGAAACTTTGAGGTATTTATTGTGTCACATTTAAGACTGTGAAACTGATTGTCTCTGAGTTGAATCCCATAATTAGCATCAATTCCCTTGAGATTATAAGTTACCCTTGTTGACATATGCCATATAACACGAATTTTAGATCAAGGGCAGACTTCCGACTACTTATAACCACCTAACATGTACATAAATTACTTATAATTGCCTATCACATGAAGTCACAAAAAAATGTAATGATACTCAGTATCAAGCACATGTACACGTAAAATAAACATACAAATTTTTCTAGATTCTCCATTGATCTCTCCAACTAGGTTTGAATCATTCCCAATCAGACTGTTTTGTGCTGAAATAGAAGACAATAATAAAATTTATTAGGAATTGAAGAGGAAAATTGATTATGAATATAGTGGTCTTGAGTGCTGTTAGAGGTATGAGGATGGTTATTATTTCCCGGTTGCCCACACTGTTGAAGGGTTCTTCTGGAGGTACGTGAATAGAGAATTGGATTAGAGGTGGTCTTTAGTGACCTGAGAGCTCGAATGCAGTGTCCAAGAGACAACTGTTTGAGGTTGGTCACACACAGACATTTTGTACTTAATTTTCGTGTTAGCTCCGTAATTGTTGAGACCTTACCGCTGGAGACAGATATCCGTGGGATAAGGTGAGGTGTGCATTTTAAGGGTCAACCTTTTCTAACTCCATTCCTCTTTGTGAGAAGGTAGCATCGCTGTTATGCTGGTTGTCTGAAGGAATTACCTTACTGCTGTCACACCTCTGTACAGTCCGCGGTACGACTTCACCTTCGGACCTTGGGTTTGTTGTTTTTAGTCTTACCGTTCTTCAATCGACCTGTCTGGCATGGTAGGACCTTGAGGAACGATTGTTACAGCCAGTATAGCTCGATTGTTTCATCACGATAAGCAAGTCAGATCACCACGTCAAGGTAGCAACAACGGTCGGGACAAGGCTTAACATATTCCTCGATTTACAGAATCTAAAAATGCTTAGGGTATATAAGAAAATCTAGTCTGTCTTAAGATTCAAGAATGAAATCTAAGTTAGTTATCATGTCATCTATTAATCAACGATGGTAGAATACACAAGTGCCTAGTCACACATAAATATACATAAACCCGTATAGTTTAGACTAAAGCAATCAGCAAACTACTATCTTCCATTGACTTACATATCAGTTCTTCTTTTTGATTATTTACTTGGCATTTATTTTCTGATACATTGTCTAGTACTTTCATTGTTGTCCTCAATTGACTACCATTCTCTCCATCTGAAAAACGTTAGGAAATGATGTTGCATTTAACAATAAACATGAGTTAAATCTAAAGGTATATTACAACATTGGTAAATTTAAAGGTACTAACTCAATAGGAGAGTATTATGCATAATTTATAAAGTGTGTTATACTTTTGTAATGGTATGCATTTTACTGTTCCTAATACATAGGACTGAAATGGGGAGTTATGGATCTTTACAATTAGCAGTACCAAATGCTTTGGTACGGTCGAGGGTGGGGAGAGTCAGCTTTTCCCCTCGGCATGCTCACACATGGCCACGTGCATACAATCACTGTCAGGGAAGTCCTACTCACTGCCTTCTCGAGGCATTGCTTTTGTTTATGGAATTGAGAGGACGGAAAGCGAATGTCCGACTCATTAACCGGGTTAGTGGATACGGAGCATCCACCTAGTGGAGTTGGAGAACTCTAATTCCAAACCAATAATGTACATGAGCCCTGGGGGTGGTGGTGGTGAAACTGGCTGACGGGAGTTCAAAGACTTAAGTAGGTATCGATTCCTTGAGTATTATTGACGTACCTTACTGATAAGTGGTGGATTACAAGAATTGTAAGTTCAGAGTTTTACGATGACTATATCTAACAATATGACATTCACCTGATTTCGCTTCATCTGGAATTAAGATGACTTCGGAATAGACTTTGATCAATACTAAACAGCTAAACGAACTATGTCATTGGTCAATAATTAAGCATAATTGATTATAAAGAAAAGTTCAGTAGTTGAGATCATGAGTCAATTGAATCTAGACCACCATGGAAAACCAGGAAGCACTGAACCGCCATTTCGTCCTATTGTGGAACTTCTTAGCAGTACGCATCCACGATCCCGCCTCGCGGGATTCGAAACCAGGACCTATCAGTCCTATTTATTTTATTTATTTAAACACATAGACATACGTAAAAGCAGGCACCAAATAGATATGCTCCACATAAATCATTCGATTTATATGAGGGCTGAGAAACTGTCCGGGTGCCCTAGCCGAAACAGGTGGTTTTCTTAGAGGGCCACACCCGGAGCCTTTGACTTAAAGATCTGATCCACAAGGCAGTGGAGCAATGTCAGAAGATTCTATCCCATAGTAGCCGGTGACCAACAATATGTCCATACACCATTTGTTCTTTCAGGATCCTGGAGGCAGCCCATATGCACCATTGGTTTGTAATCATGGTTTTTCAACTCTCTGAGGTGAACCCTCTATATCCACCAACCCGTTTAGAGCGCCAGACATCCGTTTTTCATCTTCTCAATTTCGTAAACAACACCCCCACCACGAGAATCCAGTGCGTAGGACTTCCCTGTCAGTGGTTGTATGCATGTGGCCATGTGAGATTATTTCAAGAGGGAGATCTGACTGTGCCCACTCTCTTGCTGTCACTAACTAGAATCAGTTGAAGTATCATTGAATATCAATTGACACAAGAAAGTTGAGAATCCCTTAGTAACACACACACACTCACAGAGAGACACATCTTAAAACGACCTAGTTTTAAACTACTTACTTAGTTTCATTGATAATTTACGATTATAATATAATTTTTCATTCATTGAATAATCATCATTCTCAGCTTCTTCTTCTTCTATTGGTAAATTCATTAAATTACGATGATGATGATGATAGATCCCTTTTGGTGATTGATCTATACGATAATGTAAAGAACTATTTGATCTTGTTATTGTTTTATTATATTTTTCATTAAAATTAAACTCATTTACATGTTGTTTCACTATATCTGAATCATAGGAACTTGATCTATTATAAGATAAACGTTTTGTTGTTTCATTATTCATTGTACTATCTATTGGAGATATCCATGATGAATGAAATAGATTAGTTGATTGATCGGTTAATGAATAATGATCATTTATTTGATCGATGGATTCTTGTTTTATTAATTTATTCATTTTCATACTTGTTTTACGTGTTCTCATAGATCCATTCAATGAAGATTCATTTGAATCCGATGATATAATTGGTGATAATCTTGTCTGAAAAAAAAGTTGATTTAAAGTATAGGTTTTAGTTGTGTTTTTTTTGTGTGTGTGGATATCATAGTCATTACAATGATTGAGATTATGAGTCAATTATAGCTAGACTGTTGGATATTGGCCAGCTCAATTGAGACTGATAGGTCCTGAGTTCGAATCTTGCGAAGCGAGATTGTGGATGCATACTGTTGAGGAGTCTCATAGTAGGACGAAATGGTCGTCCAGTGATTTCAGGTTTTCAATGATGGTCTAGCTTCAATGCACTCATGATCTGAACCATTGAAATTAAAGCAATTAGTCCCTTTTGATAAATTTCGAGAATATAATAAAAAGACGAAGATTATCAGAACCATGCGATGATACATTAATGCAATACATTTCGAACAATCTAATCACACATAATATACTTGTTAAGGATATTTATATATAGGAAATAAAAGGTCAACTAAACTAAAAATGGGGGTAAGGGGAGACAAGGATAATAATAAAACTAAGCTATATCGGGCGTACTACCAGACAGCCGAATCATAGAGTTTGTGAACACCTCCCTTCGTGGTTAGTGAAAGACACGGTCAAGACAATACGCAGCTCGGTCCTATCACAGTTGATCGATAGCGGTCATGTAATAGACAAAAATAAGTCATTTATTGTATTCTTACTAGTTGTCCTTATGGTGTTCAATCTCGTCTTTTACACATAGCAGAAGCTATAGGAATTCCAGCCAACAATCCAAGTCTTTATGTTCATAAGAAATTTGTAACACCCTTATTCTCCCTCTTGACCTAAATAAATGATTTTATTTCTTACTATTTTCCATACTCTTTGTCTGTTTATTTTTCTTCACCCCCTTTTATCCTTTTCTTTTCTCTCAAATATTCGCTTCACCATTCAATTATCTGAACACCTCTTATTACGTAATCTTATAACCTTTCTATGAATTTCACAGATTGAAATCATGAGTCAGTTGAAGCTAGACCACCATTGAAAACCTGGAAGCACTGGACGGCCGTTTTGTCCTAGTATGGGACTCCTCAGCAGTGCGCACCCACGATCCCGCACCACGCGGGGCTCGAATCCAGGACCTACTGGCTTCACGCACGAGCACTTAACCATTAGACCACTGAGCCGGCATCCAACGGTGTTAATGTCTAACTTCAACCAATCCACGAAGTTGCGCCACCGTACACCATTGTCTTCAGTGAGTTCCTACCTCACAACAGACCTGGTTGAATTCCACTGGTAACGGCTTCTCACTAGAACTTCGGGAGTTTCTCCTGAAGTCAGTCACTAGTGAGCAGTTGATTATTATCAGAATGGGTTTTGTGGAGATTTTAGAAATTTCACAGATTGAAATCATGAGTCAGTTGAAGCTAGACCACCATTGAAAACCTGGAAGCACTGGACGGCCGTTTCGTCCTAGTATGGGACTCCTCAGCAGTACGCATCAATGTCTATATTTTCCTAATCATTGACCTATTTCCCATTATGTAACCTTGATTCAAGCCTTTATTACGTTTGTCATCACACTACCAATTTGTACTTTTAGCTTATTATGCTTAGTTAAGTAATTGTATTACATAACTGAACATAAACTGCCTTGATTAATTCAATAATTTCGTATATTTCAATAGTTAGGATCATGAGTAATAAAGGGTGATGAATGTTTATCCTTTACTGTTATTAGGTCATTTGATTCTATTGGTTTCTGCAACCATTTGAGTACATGTTCACACACACCCTAATTTTGAGATCATGATTACTCCTCCTTTCTTTATGTGTGACCATACACACATTTAAATTGGTAAACACAGTAAGGCGTGACGCAATCGTTTTTTTTTTGTCTTTTAGGTTTTCGATGAAGCATGAACCTTGTTGTTTTCTTGATAATGACCTTTGCTGCACAGTACGTTTTATTGATGACTAATTTAAGCCTGAACAAATTTAAATTCACCTCATTGCACAAGCAAATGGCTATCAGGACTCAGTAGCTGAGTGGATAATGCGATGGCGTTTGAAGAGAATGGTACTGGGTTCGTGTCCCAGAGTGAACATCAACTCTCTGAGATGCAGGTACATCTAGCTGACGAGTCCCAAATAGGACGAAGTGGCGCTCGTCCTGGATTCCACTGCTAGCCACTATCCATCATTGCTTACAATAATTTAAGCCTTTGTTTCAATAAAAGACTATTTGAATCACCTCTAAATGGTAAGGTGATGTAGACAGACTTTTTTCTACCCAGGCTATAGTAGGTCTCACTGTACCATGAACTTTCAATCTATTTATGAATTTCAGGGGATAGCCATTTTCCATTAGGCTTTTGTTTAGCAACTTAACGTCATTATCAATAGCGTCATTTGTATAAATACGATCAAGCCTGTTGAATAGGCACTTTACCAAACCTCATTTGTATTAGACGGTGCAATAACTATAATAACTATGGTATTGAACTGTCCACGTTTTCAAAGAAAAATGGATCGTTTGATTGATGTTTTTTTTATTGAAATAGAATATGATTCTGTTTGGGGATGTATGTGCATTGTCACAATATTACCTTAATTCACGAGCATTATAAGTAAAGATGGATAATAGGCTAGTAGTGAAATTCAGGATATGCACTTTGATCTATCGCAGACTTAAAAATCAATTACAAGATTCAAGTAACCAATACCAAATAATCAGTTCAGGAGTTGTAGAGATTGCTAAGTTTTGGATTGAGATCATGAACTGATTGATATTAGACCACCACGGAAAACCTGGAAACACTGGACGGCCGTTTTGTCCCATTGTGAGACTCCTCGGCAGTGTGCATCCACGATCCCGCTCACGGGATTCAAACACAGGGCCTTCAATCTCGCACGCGAACGCTTAACTTACTGGATCACTGAACCGGCGGTGTTAATGTCTAACCTCAACCAATCCACCAAGATGCGCGACCATCTTCCATTGTACTGAAGTAGACACCTGTTTCTACCCAACACGGATTAGCTCCACTAGTCAGTGCTTCCAGGTTTTCAATGGCGGTTCATGATATCAATCAATTACCAAATGAATTCAATATTGATTTATGTCAAATCTTTACTAATCAATATTATGTGCTCCTAATGATCTGATAATTTTACATAAACTACACTTACTGGTATTGACATTTGCATTTTCATTAAAGAATTTTGACGAAATAATTTATAATCTGTTAAACTATCATCATTAGGAGATGAACTGTCAGATTCACTTGCATGTACAGCTTCGTTTCTTCTTGTCTTTTTTTTAAAAAAAAGAAAGTTAAAATAGTTAACAAGATTGAAAATATGAATGTTAATGTGAAAAATTCACTTATTTGAATAATTTCTTTTAAAAAATGTTTCGTCCTATTCGGGACTCGTCAGCTGAATGTACCTCCATCTCAGAGTTGATGTTCACCCTTGTGGACTTGAACCCAGTATTGTTCACTTCAAACGCCATCGTGTTATCTAATTAACTATTGAATCCTGCCATTCATTGCTAGCCACTATCCATCTCTGCTTATAAAGCTTGTAAGTTAAGGGAATATCCAGGCAATGCACAAAGTATGAACATATGCCAATAATAGACTGATCATTAGGTGGTGATCATTCAATTGTGAAAGTTAAGTATTCCATGTGAAGCATGAAGATCCTGAGTTCAGTTTCCATTGGGTTCGTGGATCTTTAATGATGTAGAGACTCATATTTCGACCGAACAAATATATAGTAATTTCTACTTTTAAATGATTGTTTAACAACTTATCATGTAAACTATAAAACAATGTTACCTGTAAAGCATGAAGCCATAACAGCATAGCATCTTCTGTTTCTGCTTGAAGAATATGTTCTTTTCCATCTGACCTTTAATCGTAAAACAAACATAAATCAAAGTAAATCATTCCAAATAATCATATTGATTACCTAAACTACTTCAGTCTAATGATTAAACACTCACGCGCGAGACCGATAGGTCCTGGGTTCGAATCTCACGAGGCGGGATCCTAGGTCAACACTGCTGGGGAATCCTATATTAGACTGAAACGGTCATCCAGTGCTTCCAGGTTTGTCCATGGTGATCTAGCTTCAAATGATTCATGATCTTGACTATTGAAATTAATATAATATCCACAAAACTCCTTCTGATACTTCAGTGTTATTGGATATAAGTCACAATATACAAATACAAAATGAAGATTTCAATGTTGACGTGGATTTCTGTATATTTTTCATTAGTAGAAGTGACCTGATAAAAATAACTATTCCAAATGTTTCATTAGCTTAAAACTATATCGAGACAAAACAATCGATTACTAGAAGAAAACTCTAATCATTTAATCGATATTATATGGAATTATTGGTGAATTAAAAATACAAAATGTAATTAAATTCTAACTGTTACTCCCCACAATTAATTGATCACTGGGTGGTGATCAATGTCTTGTGTGTCAAGCATTCGATAATAAGAAGGATTTCACGTTTGGTTGTCAGTTCTTTCAAGTATTATTTGAATATTCCACTTTCAGTTACCTACTGATGATATATAGTCAGTTAGCTAGGCAATCAGTCAAACAGTTGGTCACAATCAAAGTGAAATCTTACACATCCTGTTTGTTTAATATAGGGTTGTGGAGATTATTACATTTTTGATTGAGATCATGAACCGATTAATGTTAGACCACCATTGAAAACCTGAAAACACTGGACGGCCGTTTCGTCCTACTGTGGGACTCCTAACCAGCGTGCATCAACGATCCCGCTGGCGGAATTCAGACCCAAGTTAGACATTAACACCGTTGGATGCCGGCCAGCTCAGTGGTCAAGAGGTTAGGTATTTGCACGCGAGATTGAAGGCCCTGTGTTCGGATTCCGTGAGCGGGATCGTGGATGTGCACTGTTGAGGAATCCCACAAAAGAACGAAACGGTCGTCCAGTACTTCCAGGTTTTCAACGTTGGTCTATTTGTTCAAGTTGTGATACTTTATCAAAACAGCCAAATGAAATTACCAAGATAAATTCCAGGCCAATAATAATTTACTTATACACTAACAAACATTAACTTCATGATGGGTTGTAATTAGGTGTACGTTGTAACCAAGATTTAGTGGATATCATTCAAAATTATTCATCAATGAGTAAAATCTGGCACTTCAATAAATTTGACTTTTCAATAACAATCTAAATCTCCAATTCACTGATCTACTAAGATAAATTGAAGTTGCAACCAGTAATCGATGGGTATGGGATCGCTAACCCCATGCTCAACTCTACTCCTTTATCCGAGCTTGAGACCGACAGTAGCCTCAGAGGAGCTCTATTCGGAGTAAGAAGTCCAATACTAACGTGAAACAACTACCTACTGCCTTCTCGTTTTAAAACGTTTGACAGTTAATATAATTTCGTGACATAATACAATTTTAAACAACAACAATAATGATTAACATTTTACTTACATAATACTAAATTGATTATGTTCAGCAGGATCAATATGAAATACAGCTCCATGAATATTGATTATTTTCAATGGTTCTTTATCTGGAATAGCTGCATCCATTTCATTACGATAAGCCATTAATTTCAATGTAGACTCTTCAAATACATACCAGTGACGTTGAATCCCTTTTAATCTTTTGAATGCTGAACAATTCATTGACGGTATGTTTGTTTGTTTGTTTTTTTTTTTAAAAAAAGAAGCAAAATAAAGACATTCTTTTTCAGATTTTAGAGAACATTACAATTCCTACATTGATCTTTGTTTCCTTATCAAATAGTCAGAATTGAGTAGTCAGTTATAATACAAATCACAACGAGTAAGACATATACACAAATTGTCAGTCAGTCAGACAGTCAGTCAGCTACAACTTAGGACCAGGCACACATTTGCATCGGTCCAACTTGCCATACCTCATTTGCACAATAACATGAACACCGGATTCTTAGAAGTACTCAATTCAATGGTGTATTATATAAAAGAAAGAATGTGTACAAGGATATAGTACAGGAAGAAAGAATCAGTTCGTAGAATGAAAGATATAAAGCGATTTTAATCTCATAGTTTAAGGGAATACAGAGAGTGTATACACCTACACTACTGTGACTGACTCTGAGCCATGTCATACACAGTCTCTAACCATTCGTTACGATAGTCACACGGACGTCAATCAAGTATTCTGCATCTACTAACATGGCTCATACTACAAGATAGTGACTTCAAGGACTGATGCCAGGTTTTGGTTTGGCCATCCCTAACTTTCTTCCAACTGTCTCTAACACTAGTCAGTATTGCGTGTCGTGGCAATCGGTGTTCAGCTATACGCAGCACGTGGTTCAACCATCTCAGTCGATGATGATTCACAACCTTATCAACTGATTTACCATCAATCCCTAATACCCTACATCTAACCTCCTTATTACTTATCTGGTGATCCCAATAGATGCGAGCGATTTTTCTAAGACATCTGCCCCTAATGGCTCTATTTTGAATAATTCATAAATATTTTTACTTATATTGGTTAATACCTAAAGTACATTTGTTAGGCTGAGCGTTCATTGAATCAAGTTTGATAAGCAGAACTGTTTAGGCGCAAATTTAATTTTTTTTCAGATTTTCGTCGTTGTTATTGCTAAGGTGATCAGCTAAGTTTTTCTTCTCCCATCCAAAAGCAGTTGACTGATACTTGGCGATTAAACTATGAACCCTATCCATCCACACAGTATATCAATATTTTCAATTAAGTAACCTTGTGTGGGAAATAAATTTAAATCATAACATGTGTGTCATCAGAAATTGATAACAGTTGGAAACGCTTTAGATTATCAAGGTATTTCTATCAATATTGGGGATTTGTGCAGATTGTAGTCTTTTCATAGTTGAAATCACGAGCCGTCTCGTCTATGTATAGGACCATTCAGCAGAGAGTATTCGCGATCTCGTACATTTTACTCGAACCCATAACATTCTGTCTCATACGCTAACACTTAACCTCTAGATCACTGTTGAAAACTTAGGTGTCAATACGAAATAGCTGTCCAGTGCTTTCAGGTTTTCAGTAATAGTTTAGCTTTGGTTGATTTGTGATTTCAAGTGCAAAAATATGAAGGTACTTCACAGAATGAATTGCATGAATTATTTTCAACTTAATGTTTTGCATCGAATCCCGAAAGAACTATTTAGCAACTGAAGCTTATTGGAAACTAATGAAAGTAAAGTTCATTTCTGCCTGTGTAAACAATCGTCAATAAGCCGTGGATCGTTATATTGTGGTAGTTGACGATGGTATGGTGTTGAAGCGACTGATGCCGTCTGTGTGAATATTTTACTCGTCATCATTTATTACAGCTGGTGACCTGACATCTTGGGGAATAATACTGATCGCATGTAATATACTCAATATCAAGCTATTCGAACTAGTGACCAAACTACGGCCTTATTGTTAGTATTCGACCAGGGTCAGAAACCAGACGATTATGACATTGGTCAATACTTAAACGATCAATTAGTATAAGTAAACATTCAAATCAAAACTAAGAAATCTAGGTAGGAAAAAAGTAATTCAAACATATTTGACTCGGCTCAAGAACTAGACTCTATCTACAATGTCAGTTGATGAAACTCATGAAGTACAGATTTGCGTAGGGCAACACTTCATGTGTAATGGTAATGATACTAACTTACTACACAAAGAGAATTAATTAGATCAGGAATCAAACCTGTCACAGTGTTATAAAGTTGAATGTCTTAGCCTGTTCAAACCATAAACTATTTAATTCTGTTTTGATAATTTAAAAGTATATCTGTTTTAGATTGAGATCATGAACCGATTGCTTCCAGGTTTCCAATGGTGGTCTAACATAAATCGGTTCATGATCTTAATCAAAAACTTGATATTCTGTACAACCCCTAGTAAATCGAAATGTTTGACAACGTGGGTGAAGAACCGTTTTATCATTCTCTTTATTTTATTCAGTAATATATGTGAATATCATATCTTAATGTTGCTCATATGGACTCAATAAACAAGTGTCTCATTATAAAGTAAACTAATTTCGGAGATTGACTATCATGGAGATATGGTAAGTGTTCTATATTGATTAAGACTGATCAATTGAACGTGAATACCTCTCACATTTAATATTCATATTGTGACAGTTCTTTAGCACCAGATGAAAATTTTAATCAGTAAACGTCCTTTCATACTTTATATCTTGTTCTTTAATTTAACCACCAATCATGGATTGCAAGGAAGAACCTTTTGATAAAGTGTGGCTGTTTGAGATCATGAACTGATTGATGTTAGACCACCACTGAAAACCTGAAAGCATTGGACGGCCGTTTCGTCCTATTGTGGGACTCCTCAGTAGTGCACATCCACGATTCCGTTCACGGGATTCAAACACAGGGCCTTCAGTCTTGCTCGCGAAAACTTAACCTCTCGACCACCAAGCCGGCATCCAATGGTCTTAATGTCTAATCTCAACCAATCCACCAAGATGCGCGACCATCTCCCATTGTACTGAGGTAGATAATCTCCACATCCCTATACTGATAATCACCATGTACTCACTAGTAACTAGCTTCATGAGAGAAGCCGTGACCGTGTCGGGTATCTACCTCAGTACAATGGAAGATGGTGGCTCAATTTCGCGGATTGGTTGAGGTTAGACATTAACACCGTTAGATGCCGGCCAGCTCAGTGGTATACTGGTCAAGCGACTGTTTAGTGCTTCCAGGTTTTCAATGGTGGTCTAACACCAATCGGTCAATGATATCAATCAAAAACTTAATAATATTCACAACCCTATTCTGATAAAGTCTGATTGTATTTGGTGTTTAATACAGACAGTGTTATGTGCACACGACACCAGATCTAAATACTCATTTACATTTATCTAATTCAAATGTGATTGATCATTCAGATGGAGTACTTAAACGTGTCAATATAATAATAGTAATTAAGAAATACCATCATATATACATGGATAAATTGGAAACATTATTAGACAATAATTACTAAAGAGATGACGACGTAATGTCTAATACAGACATCTAAATCCAAAAAAATGGTTGTCCCACTTTAGAATATGAGAATTTGGTAGAGCATTTGGTTGACAGATGGTATTAGTTCAATTCTATTAATTAACTTATACTCTATTGTGTGATTGATTCGAATACCTTTGTATATGAATTTTTCTAATATTGCCTTTGTTTATTTGCTTGTCTGTTCATTTCTGGGAGGTAAGACCCGACTCACACGTCCTCGTTGTGTCTCCTTGATAGTGGGAATTGTCCCATGAACTAATGTGAGCGGTAAACCGGGTGGTAGAGATCGGACTAGTCAACCACTCGACCGATACCCATAAACGATTACAAATGCTACAAAGTAAAATAGCACAGCTTTAACTGCAAAAACATCTATCCCGTCCCGGTAGTTGTGCCGTGCTTCCATATAGCCACTTCTCCAGAAGGGCCCACTAGGCTTCACCAATACATTTTCTGGCTGGAAGGCTATTCATTTATTTATTAATTATATTTTGTTATGACATCGGTCTATAAATATATGGAATATGTTGACTAACTATCAGTTTGAACAGTCTGAATTCATTTCAGTACGCTAAAATTTTGGATTTATTTCAGTACAATACAATTCCTGAATATTCTACACTCAGTCAGCTACAATGTAGGACCAGACACATATATGCATCAGTCCAAGTTGCCACATCTCATTAGCACAGCAAGATGAACACCGGATTCATAGAAGTAGTTAATTCACTTGACATTACCTTGCCAAAACGGAGAGCCGATGAGATACAACCTCTGTGTCTCTGGCGACCTGATGGCTAGTTCTCGTGTACTGGCAGGTGTAGACATATCATTAAGTACGAGGGTAAAACAAGCACTATGAGAGTGGATCCCGGTTACCAGTCATCTATATGCTGTTCGGTTAAACGTCTCCGTAAGAACTCAGGAGGATAGGGACACACGTCGTTGCTTTTTCGTCGTTTCTGCCTACGCTCTCACTGACTGCAGTCCGGATGAAGTAAAATATGACTTTTACAAAAAATTTTTTGAACTTCTTCGTAAAGCCAAACGTTCAGACATAGTACTTGTAGCAAGTGACCCCCCCCTAAGAAGACCATCTGTTTCTCTCTAGGCGCCCGAACAATATTGCAGTCCATACACAAATCAACTGACTTGTGTGACACATATGTACTCGATGCTTCTTTGTACCAATATTTATGTATTCAATATGTGTTAATATAAATCTAATTCAATTACAATTATGTCTAATTCTGTTATTATATCAGTTCACTGAATCCATCAATCTTCAATCATTCAACTAAAGATAACAAACGTGACAGTTTCATTCTTAGTTCTTTACAGAAATGATTAAAAGAGAAAAAAGGAAACAAAACACTCACAAATACAGTTAGTAGTTAGTTACATAATCTTGTGTAGATAACAATCGACAAAAGCAAACAGTTAGAATTGTATTCATACATTCCTCTTATTAAATATGTTAGCAATTTTAATAATAGAAACTTCAAATGGTTAAAAAATGTAATTCATTCGAGTCATTTCATTATCAAGATTGATATATCGTCTAATTTGAACAATAAATTCGGTTACTAAGCTGTTCTAGTAACCCCACCCCCCTAGGCTAAATCTACACAGCAACTTGAACATGAGAGAAAAGGTGAGAAATATGGAAGAAACACTTTACTCCAAATGTTTGTTTAAATACAGAAAATCGAAGGTTTTTATAGCATTTTAGATGACCTTGAGTTTTCGAAAACTTCTGGAATGCTACTAAACATAGTAACAGTATAGGTAATCATTCAATCAGAAACTGGACAGGTGACGAGTGCCAAGTAGCACGAAACCCGGGTCCAGGGTTTCCTGTCAACTACCTCCAACAACCATCTAATCTCAATATATAGTGCCCGCAGTGTCGAGTCACCTAGACTGGTGGCCACATTGCAACATGATCGATAGCATGAGATCTGCTTTAACAAGGACTAGACACGCATGACATTGATCGGCACCCAGTGTTCAATCAATTGTGATGTGACTTTTCACTTTCTAGATGTTTCTGACGAAACGTCTAGTGAATATTGATTGGATAAGATGCTTCTCAGAATATTCAGAGTATTTGTTGGATTTTTTTCAAGGAGTTATCTGGATCCCCTAACTAAGACACATTGAGATGTATAATCATTTAAAAGATTGAAATCCTAATGATTATCATCATTAATTCTTCAGCTTATTGTTACAAAGTGATACAGTGACCTGAACATTAATAATCACATGGAGCTACCTTCAAGTTCAGTCAAGGATAATAATCCTTCTTACGATGTAGAAAACAATACAATTAAAGATAAATTACTGGTATCTTGGTTGAAATAAACTTCTTTTCTTTAATATCATTATAGATAACGAAATGGGGTTTTTGTTAATAAGAGTTTTATTTACTTATTTTTACACAGATATTGGTACAAGGAGGCACCAAATACATATGCGCCACACAAATCTCATTCGATATGTGTGAGGTCTGTGTTACTGCCCGGGTACCCAAACCGAAGCAGGTGGTCATCTTAGGGGGCCACTCCCCGAGCCTTCGACCTGAAGGTCTGATCCACAAGGCAGTGGAGCACCGTATGGAGATGAAGTCCCATGGAAGCCGGTGACCAACAAGTGGTTCATACGCCACTTGTTCCCGCAGGATACTGGAGCCCATGTGCACCATTGGTTTGAAATCCGGTTAAAGCGCCAGACATTTGCTTTTCGTCCTCTCATTTTCGTAAACAACACCCGTGGTGCGAGAAGGTAATGAATAGGACTTCCCTGGCAGAGGCTATATACGCGTGGCCATGTGAGAGCATTTCGAGAGGGAGAGCGGACTCTCCCCACTCTCGGCTGTACCAGGGCATTTGGGGACTAATAAGAGTTTAAGCTTACTTTTTTTACAGTTGAAGGGTATTTCACTTTATAAAATGATTTTGAAATATAAGTTTATGAATTGAATCTTTTTTATTTCTTTAATCAATGAATGGGAAAATCTCCACAAAACACCTTTTTGATAATAGTCATCATGTGCTCACTAGTAACTGGCTTTAGGAGGTGTTTCCTGGAGTTCTAGTGAAAAGCCATGACCGGTAGCGCAATTTCATAGATTGATTGAGGTAAGACATTAACACCGTCGGGTGCCGCCTAGCTCAGTGGTCTACAGGTTAGGCGTTCGTACTGAAGACTGATACGTCGTGGGTTGGGATCTTGTGGGCGGGATTGTGGATGCGCGCTGCTAAGGGACCTATATTACGACAAAACGGCTTTCCAGGGCTCTCAGGTTTTTCATGGGGATCTAGCTTTAATTGACTCATGAATTCAATTATAAAATTACTGAAACTTTCAGAAAACCCCCTTCTGAAAATAGTATTTGCTGATTTACAATCTGTTCAGAAGTCGAAAGAGAACTGAACTTTTGAATAAATTTTTTTTTTTTAAATGTATTTCTGAACTTTTTAAATCTGGAATACTACTTAGATTGTTTCAAGTCGATCTAGAATCCGTCTCACTAATGTAATTTCATATCTACAATTGATTGATCACTGGGTGTTGATCAATATCATGTATGTCAAATGCTTCTTAGTGATGATGAATAAATCATTACTAATATTAGCACACTTTGTGGAAACATCTGAATGTTCAATTAATTCAACTGAAAAACTCTTCCTGTAACTTAATCTAGTCCAAGAATCACAATTAGCAAAAATGCTTTAAACGTACAGATTAGTTATGATGTCAATGTCACAATCGTATAGAACAATAGACGGCGAGACTATAATTTATGAACGAACCAATCAGATATAAGAAAACAGGTTTCGGATTTTGGCGCGAAATTCATTCATCCATTTGGCAAAATAGAGTTTTGGCATTATAGCTTATGTCAGTTTGTGATGAAAACCGTAAATCTAATTCCTAACACTAACCATGAACTGTAAATCATAATTCGAATTCTTCACATCGATTTATAACCCTCATTTGGTCCTAGTTATCAGGTAAACACTCTCAAGGTCACTTTGGTGGCACTCAGAGGTCGTCCATAAATTATAGTCTCACGTTTTAATGTGTAAATATTTCATCTATGAATGTAGAGGTGAATATATAAAGGTGAATCGAGTAGTATAGTTTTAAGTCAGAGATTGAAAGTAGTCATCGAGATAACCAATTATGCTGCTCAATTGGTTGTGATTAAAAAGTCCAAGCCTATGATTCCAAATAGACTTAGACAATGCATAAATAATTTACGTCACATCCCATTGTATTCATCAATTTACATGTTTATGTGAATACGCATACACAGGAAGGAATATTCAATTAATACAATCAAAGGTTATTAAACATATGACAAGATAAATTCACTTTGTGTTGTTTTACTTATATCTCCCCATTGTTATTTAGTATTTCAATTGATCAGTCTCATGTTAGAATATGTGCATCTTGTGCGGATTGCCTCAATATAGCCTTAAGTCAATAGCTAAATGGAGAACGCGATGGTGTTTGAAGCGAAGTATACTGAGTTGGAGTTCGAGAGTCAACATCAACTCTGAGACCCAGGTACATCTAGCTGTTGAGTTCCAAATAGGACGAAACGCATATCAAACTGGATTCCACTACTAGCCGCTATCCATTTCAAAACTAATGAGTATCAAATAGTCTAATCAACATAGAAGATAGAAAACTATGTTCATCGATAGTGAAATATATAGTAATGACATATTTGTCAAATTACATTTTATATAGAATATTTACATTGTAAAATATAAAAGAGCATAGTAACAGATTAACATAATATTTATTGTTTATTATTGTTGTTAGGTGATTGATTTCACGTCATATGATGAAGTTTTAATTTAAAACTAATAGTGTTATTACTTCAAGAGATTGATAGATAGAAATGAAGTGAAAGTAAGAAAACTATCGCCGGTATTACTGATCAGTGTTGTTGCTGTTATTTCTTCTCTTTATTTAATAAAAAGTACATTAGTGAAGATCATTTCGTAAATAGAAAATTGAAGTATATACGCTAATGATCATACGTGATACTTTGAAAATAAGCTTTTATCGTTCAAGTTCAATCGTGAGACAAATGACGTGACAATCATATTCGTCTAACTTATGGGGTATTATCTTCAACTTTGGTTAAATTTACCCATGGAATCTCATCAAACTTACTTACTTACTTACTTACTTATGCCTGTGGAGGAGAATAATCCGCCAAACAGCACTCTTCATTCAACCATATCCCAAGGAATTCTTTCCAGTTCTTTCCAGTTGTTATTCATCCTATTCATATCTGCTTCCATTTCCTGACATAATGTGTTCTTCGGCCTTCCACATTTCCGTTTCTTTTCAGGATTCCAAGTTAGGGCTTGCCTCGTGATGCAGTTTGATGATTTCCATAATGTATATCCTTTCCATTTCCATCGTCTTTTCCTAATTTCCTCTTCAAATGGAAACTAGTTTGTTCTCTCACACAGTAGGCTGTTGATGATGGTTTATAAATACTCGTACCTTCCTGATGATGGTTGTAGTAGTTCCCCAACTTTCAGCTCTATACAGTAGAACTGTCTTGACGTTCGTATTAAAGGTTCTGATTTTGATATTAGCTGACAGACAATTGTTTTGAGTTCCATATATTCTTCAATTGTAGGAATATGGCCCTTACTTTTGCAATCCTTGCATTTACGTTCACATCCGATCCTCCATTTTCATCATTGATGCTTTCCAAGTACATGAAAGATTCCACCATCATTAATAAACAACCAATCATCATTTGATTGTAGTTTTATAAAACTTTTTTAAAAATAACCAAACATCTAGGTTAGCAACTAACTACACAACCAGTAACACTCAAACAAATAAAAGTTGGTTATTTATTTATTCCTACTATCATTCATGATATCACTTACCAGATTCAAAATATGCTGCAATATCCGATGCATTATTCACAAGCGGAGCTAATAAATAATACATTTAGAAAAAAATATATATACATGAACTAATTTTAATGATGATTAAATACAATGAAACAATCAGAAAAGAAATCAATAATTTATTGATTTATTGATTAATTGGTTGGTTGATTGATTGATCGATCGATTGATTGGTTATTTGATTAGTTTTTTGTGTATAAAACTAAATGACAAAATGGGATAGTTTTATAATGACATAATTATTTTTGCCATTTTATTCCCTTTTCCTATCACGTACACACGAACAGATGCAGATGAAGACAGCCAGTGTAGCAGCAGTCTCTGCATCAGTAGGCCTCAGCATACACAAAAGGAAAACTAAGGTCCTCAAATTCAAAGCGGAGAACAGCAATCCAATCACTCTTGATGGCGAAACTCTGGAAGATGTAGAATCCTTCATATACCTAGGAAGCATCATCGATGAACAAGGAGGCTCAGATGCAGACGTAAAGGCGAGGATCGGCAAAGCAAGGGCCGCATTCCTACAATTGAAGAACATATGGAACTCAAAGCAACTTTCAACCAACATCAAAGTGAGAATCTTCAATACGAATGTCAAGACAGTTCTACTGTATGGAGCTGAAACTTGGAGAACTACAACAACCAAAATCAAGAAAGTACAAGTATTTATAAATAGCTGTCTTCGCAAGATACTCAACATTCATTGGCCGGATACCATCAGCAATAGCCTTCTGTGGGAGAGAACAAACCAACTTCCAGCTGAAGAAGAAATTAGGAAAAGACGATGGAAATGGATAGGACATACATTACGCAAATCGTCAAACCGCATCACGAGGCAAGCCCTAACTTGGAATCCTGAAGGGAAGCGAAAAAGAGGAAGGCCAAAGAACACATTGCGTCGGATAATAGAAGCAGATATGAAAACGATGAATTACCACTGGACGGAGCTGGAAAGGAATGCCCAGGACAGGGTTGGATGGAGAACGCTGGTGAGCGGCCTATGCTCCTTCACGAGGAGTAACAGGCGTAAGTAAGTAAGTAAGTAAGTAATTTTATTCCCTTTAATGTTAAAAATCAATATTATTTTATGATTTATGTGTTTGTTACCGTGACTACAAAAAGATTAAATCATTCGATAAAATATTCTTAAAGTAATATCAATAGTAGAGATCATAAGTCAATCAAAAGCTAGACCATCATGGAAAACGTGGAAGCACTGGATGGTTGTAGTTCTTGGACTTCTAGTCAGAAGGCGTGACCAGTGGAGTTTAACCTGGTCTGTTGTGAGATAGTAACTGATTGATGATAATGGTGGATGTGTCACTTAATTTCATGGATTAGTTGAAGTTAGACATTAACACCACTGGATACCAGCTCAATGGTCTAGTGGTTCAATGTGCATGCGCGAGACTGATGGGTCATGGATTTGAATCTCGCGACGTGAAATCGTGGATGCTCATTGCTGAGGAGTCCTCACTGGGACTTATAGGTTCTTCATGGTGATCCAGCTTCAATTGACTTATGATATCAACTATTAAAATTACTATAATATCCACAAAAACCCCTTCTGATACTAATTAAAGTGATAAGCTTTTAATGAGTAAAATAATGAGTCAGTTGAATCTAGACCACCATGGAAAACCTGTAAGTACTGGACGATCGTTTCATCCTAGTATGAGACTTCTCAGCAGTGCGCATCTATGATCTCGTCCCGCGAGATTCGAACCCAGCTTCTATCAGTCTCTCATGGGAACGCCTAACCTTTAGATCACTGACCCGGTATCCAATGATGTTGTGTTAATGAGGAGTCCTATACTAGGATGAAAAGGCTATCTAGTGCTTCCAGGTTTTCCATGGTGGTCTAGCTTCAATTGATTCATGAATTCAATTATTAAATTACTATAATCTCCACAAAACCCGTATATGATTATAACAAGCTTTTGATTAAAATCGAGTATATTGTTAGTAGTATTCCTACTATATTCATAGAATTACTTGTGATATAGATTGAAATACTTTTAGATTGATACGGTTAGAATCCCTTTTGTATAGAATTCATATGATTCAAAGATTAGTTTCTATCAAAGAATTAATACTACTGAGGGAAGACCTTTTTGAAGAAATGAGGGAGCAATAAAAAAAACCTAATCTGACATGCCTAATTTGTGAGTTGCTTAAGATTTTACAGAATGTATCAATCCAATCCACATTATAGATAAACCTTACTGACGAATGTCTACGATTGTATAATCTAAGCTCGAAACATTCTTATGATTGACTAACAAGTGTAATATGAAGCAAGTGGTTCTGTTATAATTGATGACCATAAAAATTGCTTTCACAAAAAGTGAATATTCATAGGTTTCTATATTTGACAAAATGTGACTTCGATGAATGATCTTTGTACGTTGAATTCACTTAGTGAATGTTTCAGTTAACTTCAAAATTCTAAAAATACAAACTTCTCATAGATTAAAATGGCTGACAAACGAATTACATACATCAAACCACCAGTCAACATGAAGTAAATATTTGTTAGTGTATAAGTAAATTAAAAGAAAGCTGTAAGTGATCAAACCAAGAACTCACATCAGTTCATCAAGTCATTGATTATTAGACTGAACTCTATGGTTGAGTAAACATTACATTACTTATATTCACGTAATCATTATGATCAATGATTTATGACTTTATTTATCATAAGTGAGAATTGGTATTCATGGTGGCGAGATATTCACTCTTTTTGTTTCTCCTTATACTTGATTCGTATTTTCTATGTCTATTATTTCTAATGTATTTATTACATTTATTGGCCTGGGACTTGTTTTGGTAATTTCATTCGACCGTTTTGATGAAGTATCACAACTTGAAAATCTGGAAGTACTGGACGACCGTTTCGTCCTATTGTGTGATTCCTCAACAGTGCACATCCACGATCCCTCTCACGGAATCCGAACACAGGGCCTTCAATCTCGCGCGCAGATACCTAACCTCTTGACCACTGAGCTGGCCGGCATCTAACGGTGTTAATGTCTAACTTGGGTCTGAATTCCGCCAGCTGGTTAGGAGTCCCACAATAGAACAAAACGGCCGTCCAATGTTTTCAGGTTTTCAATGGTGGTCTAACATTAATCGGTTCATGATCTCAATAAAAAATTTAATAATCTCTACAACCCTATATTATACAAATAAGATGTGTCAGATTTCAACTTTATTGTGACCAACTGACTGACTGATTGATCAGTAGCTAGCCGAAGTGGAATATTCAAACAATACTTGAAAGAACTGACAACCAAATGTGAAGGGTGATACTTCATTGATCAAAATCAACTTTATTTTTGATCAGATAATATTAGCGAATCAATCTTCTTCACTAACACCTCATATGCAAGTAATAACAGTTAGATGGTGTTTAGAATTAGTCAACAGGAAACCCTGAACCCGGGTTCCGTGCAACTTCACACTCGTCAGCAGGCTGTACCTGTAATCTTGAGGGGACTGGTGCTCCCTGACGGATTCGATCTCGTGTCACCCAACTTCACGGTCAAAGACGTTACCACTGGGCTACCCGGGCGGCGGCCGATCTCCTCTAGGACTCGGATGTAATTGATATATCACTATTTGATTCGTATTAACTATGTTTAATCTTTCCAATGTAGTTATTGATTTTATAACTAGTTTTGTTATTACTTTTTATTACCATGATTGTTTGCATCCATTATATACAGATAGTTACTTCTATCTTATAGTACACACTATAATCAATTATATCTGATTTATATTCATTAACCAAATATGAAAAATTACAAAAACTGACAGGTTAACAATAAGAAACCCTGAATAATTTATGCACAAAACATGTGAAATATGCCAACTACTTATTTACAATAATGATAATGATAATGTGCTAAATAGATACATGGAAAAGGTGTGTACTGTGATAGAGAGCTCAAATCTCAACGGTTAAAAGTGATTACAATCTTTTACAAACATATATGTATAGTGATTAGAAGTGGAATCCTGTTTAATGCACGTTTCGTCCTATTTGTGACTCGTCAACTGAATGTACTTACATCTTAGAGTTGATGTTCACTCTAGGACTCGAATTCAGTACAGTTCATTTCAATCACCATCAGATTATTCAGTTTTGCTTATAAAGTTTATGACTTAAGGCAATATCGAGGTAATCCCTACACGATGCATATATGCCAATTGATCATAAATGGATAAACATTAGGAACTAGATAACATTGCAAAGCTATTTCATTTTAGTATGATATAAAAACTTTAATTGAGCATTTTGTTTAATGAAAGATAGAATTTATTCATTTTATGGATTTTGTGTAGTAACAGAAGAAAAGAGGTTTTCCTTATATGGATTGATACCATCCTGGACTCTATGTTTACCATGAAACTGATCTACTGATTTTGATAAGGTAATATCACTAACATTACAAGAGAATCAAACTTATTTATTAGTGGTAATTATACTGATTACAAGTAATTGAATAGACAATATTCCCTAATGAATTCACCTGGTGTTGTTTACTCGTATCTTCCCATTGTTATTTAAGATTGCAATTGATCAGTCTGTTGTTGGTATATGTGCATCCTGTGCTGATTGCATCGATATTGCCTGAAGTCACAAACTTTATAAGCACAAGCAGGTGGTTAATCAGAATTCAATAGCTAAGTGAATAACGCAATGGCATTTAAAGCAAACGATATTGGGTTCAAGTATCAGAGTGAACATTAACTCTCAGATACAGGTTATATCTAGCTGACAAAACGTGCATCAAATTAGATTCCACTGCTAGCCACTATCCATCTTTGTTTATAAACATTGTGACTTAAGACAATATAGAGACAATCTGTACAGAATACACATATGTCAACAAGAGACTGATCAATTGTAGTCTTAACATAACACTAGGGAAGATATAAATAAACAACCTGGTCTGTTGTGAGATAGTAACTGATTGATGATAATAGTGGATGTGTCACTCAATTTCATGGATTAGTTG